TTTGATGAACATACCAATGAATCTATGTATAAATTAAAGAACCTCAAGTGAGCAAACTCACATATACCACGCCCTATATAAAAGGGAAGCTTAAAGTGACTTGCTGGCATCATTTTTTAATATTTAGATTAAGGTATGATTCTTTTCTATAATAATTTCAGTTATAGTTTCAACAAATTTTTTTAGTTACTATGAATTTGACCTTAGACACAGTAATCTAATCAAAGAGCTGAAAGCTCTGAGGAAAAATGACGCCACTGTCTCTAATATTGTGATATTTTTTATGCAAGTCTTGATTTTCACATACCGTAATAAGTTTAACATTGCAACATGTCTCGTAAGCATATAATTGATATTCGTATATGTGTCTGTTTTTTCAGTACAAATGAATAGGTCAAGACTACCTGAATGATCTACAGTATCCAATTACTACCGGCTGTTTTTTTTGTATAAATAAATAGGTCAAGACTACCGGAATGATCTACAATATCCAATGACTACTGGCTGTTCTTTTGTACTAATAAAAAGGTCAAGACTATTTGAATGATCTACAATATCCAATGACTACTGGCTGTTCTTTTGTACATATAAATAAAGACTACCTGAATGATCTAAAGTATTCTAAGTAATGTGATTTTTTTCTTGCAATTACATTTTTCTAAATCAAGAATATAGACTACTAGTATCCTTTTCAAACCAAATGATTATGAAGAGCCTGTTGTTAGCAAGCTCTTATACCCCACATACTCATTAAATAAGTTACAAGTGACCTAGTTATTTCTGTTACTTGAAGCAAATTATATATCTGTATATTTAGACAATAGTATAATATTGTTTTACTAGTTTTATTTCACCTTGAAGATTAGACAAAAAGGGATACTCCTTCGATTTTTTATTTCATGTCAGTCAGGTCGCTTTAAATGAAACTTGAAACCACTTCTCTGCCATATTGTTATTTTATAACAACTCTGCCCTTGACCATGTTGACCCATGTAATTGATATTCATTCTTTAACCATATATCATAGTCAGTTAGTTTTTGATTTTGCAATCCCACACCACCTTTCATGTCTTTCAGGTCAAATGTCTGTCTCCATTTAAGTTAATGACATTGAACAATCATGGTATTAAACGCAATTTCAATAGTGATAATGCTGTTCTCGTGGGTCACCATATATTCAACTTGGGTAGCATTCCAGTTATTGAAATTTGTGTCAGATTAGAACAATGATCTAGATCTTTAGGAATGGATCTCATAATTTAATATGGAGCCATAGTATGGGGCCCCTACACGGTAACAAAAAAAAAAGCTTGAAAGGATACAATGTCAAGCGGCAAAATCTATCACCAGAGATTACAAGTCAAAAGAGGATGGACGGGATACGTCTCTAAAATGCTTGCTGAACTGGAACTACAGCAAGATCTCCAGACAAGACGAACAAAGCGTTGAAGCCAGAAGTTAATATTTATGTAAAAAGTAGTTGAGGGGCTGATTCCCGCTATTGAACCATACTGTCATTCTATAATACCATTGCGTAAGTATTTCTGTATTGGCCTTGTTATTGGTCCATGTCTTGGGTGTATTGGTCTGAGGCGAAGCGGAAGGCCAATACTGCTGGCCGAGGACCAATAATAAGGCCAATACAGAAATACACGTAATAGTATCTTTATTAATTAACTACAGTGTTACAATATTTTTTTTATTTCATTTCACAAGAGATAAACATTTTTACCTTGAAGTGGAACTATCCAAATCTCAGTTTCCTTTTATAAGATGCAATATCTAATGATTCGTTGCCGTTTGACTGCTGGCCGAGAACCAATAATAAGGCCAATACAGAAATACACGTAATAGTATCTTTATTAATTAACTACAGTGTTACAATATTTTTTTTATTTCATTTCACAAGAGATAAACATTTTTACCTTGAAGTGGAACTATCCAAATCTCAGTTTCTTTTTATAAGATGCAATATCTAATGATTCGGTGCCGTTTGAAGTATCTTCAGCCTTTTCTCATCTGATGAATTTTTCTATCCTTTCCAGTCACTATAAAGTGTTACAACTTTAATTTAGACACGACACATAAATAGTTATTGGAAAGATACTGCCATTGCATGTGTAATGCAAACATATTTAAAAAAAAAAATAATGTAAGAGTTGAAATTGATACAACTATCCATAAGCCAATTGACCTAACGAAGATTTGCACAATTACAGAATGCATATGCCTGGTTCGGGTTTAAAAATAAACGACCGTTTAAATACAAAACATGAGAAGCGACAGTAAACAGTAAAAATCGATGAAATTATGAGGTCGTCAAGAAATGAACTTTGTGATAATTTACTGATAAACCTGAAATAATACCATCGTCTACTTTCAAAATGCTTTTTAAATGAATGGGACCGTCTTTAACCTAAAATATATTCCATACTGAACGTTTCAGCTTGTTTATGGTGAGTAAACCTGCGTCTTACAAACAACTGTTTACTTTCAGTTTGAGTTTATCGTGACTTACGATCTAAAAACTAGAGACGTTCCGAAATCCTGTTTTGTAAACAAAGATTCATACGCACCGCGTGGGTATAACCGTATTACTAATTTCCGATTTTTGAAATCTTTGTGAATCTGGATAAAGACCAGTTTCTATCCAATGGATATCAAAATGATTCCGATTTTCACATTTTTTAATGATCGTAAAGTTGAAATGGCATGAAAGGCTGACCTTATTTAGGAGAACTATTTTGTCTAGCGATTGCTGATCATTGGAGGGTAAAAAGTCCAACACCATAACAAAACGGATCTATTTATCATGTATACATACCGATTGTTAACGATTGTAAGACATGTGCATAAAAGTGAAAGCTCGAATAAACATGAAAAATATAACAAAGGGATAGTTCCAAATACCATTTAATAACAAAAACATATGGACAGGTCAAGATATCTTTTTGGTAAATAAAATAAAGTATGTAAACTGGTTCCCGTCCAACTACAACACTTTGTTCGAGTGTAGCGTAATACAAGCAGATTCCAGTTAGTATGTAAAATAGTAAATATGAAACCGAGTGCGGTTGGATGAGGCAATAATCGACTTCCGTAAGTTCTGGTCAATGGTATCGGAAACATGCCGATGATAGCGTTATTTTCCAAAAATCAAAATCTTTCCCTAATAATAAGAGACCATATATCCAAGGTTAAAATCTAGATGTCAAATATTAAGATCCCTTTTCTGTACAGATTTTGATATATTTTAGTAACTTTGACTATAAACATTGACTTTTACCTTAGATGTAGTGACATTAAAATAAAAACGGATCTTCCTCCCATTACATGTGACTATATATCCTACTGATGAGTCTTTTGTAGACAAGGGGAGAGTCTGGCGTTCAAAATTTGAGGTGTGGTGTCTATGATGAACTGATTCCAAGTAAGGTTGCGATCAGAAATCAGGTGTTTGATTTAGAATCTGGAAATCACTTTCCTGCACACATTTTGGTTTATTTTCAGTAACTATGAAAGAGAGGCGAAAGATACCAAAGGGACATTCAAACTCATAAGTAGAAAATAAACATTTAAAACTTAAGACTAAGCACCAAGAACCCCACCAAAAACTGGGGTGATCTCAGGTGCTCCGATAGGGTAAGCAGATCCTGCTCCACATGTAGCACCCATCGTGTTGCTCATGTTAGTACAAACCCGGTAATAAGACTAATTCGGTAGGTCACATTCGGGGAAAAGGGGGACGGGATTGTAGTTCCGACAATTGGAACATCTGTGAAACGGGTATTCCATAACGGTCAACCAACTATGACCTTGACCTTAATTATATAAACCTCATGGTCAATAGGGATCTCTTCTTATTTGTGTCCATATATTCAAGGAAGGTTTCAGTCAGATATAAGGTATTTGATTTAGCATCTAGAATCCACTTTACTGCACAAATTTCGGTCTATTTTTAGTTACTATGACCTTAACCTTGGACGCAGTAGCCACAAAATCATTATAAGGATCTGCTTCTCATCATAATATGACTATATAGTCAATACAGGTTGCAATCGGATACAAGTTACTTGATTAAGCTTTCAGAAACCATTTTGATCTATTGTTATTAAATATGACTTTTACCTTACCACAAGAGACCTCAATATCATTAAACGGATATTCCTCTAATTATATTTGACCATATTGCTCAGCAAGGTTGCAATCTGATATAAAGTTTTTGAGTTAGCATTCGAAAATAAAAAATCTGGCAGATTTCGTAGCGTTGGGTATATCAACTGACCCGTTATTCATTCAAAATTAAAGGTAAAACTTATCGAATTATAGTTATACATCTAAACATAAAAAATTGGCTCCTACTCAGTATTGGAAAAAGTTTTAGACAACTGATATATACAAGAAGCATGTAATGGTAAAGGAATAGAAGGAAGAAATGATTAAAATGACAGAAAAGAGTAAAGCTATGTGTCGTCCAAGTAGTTGGTGTCATTAAAGCATAGCTAAGAGGGTGAAGACTCACATAGAAAAATTTGTTCATGAAATTAAACTTTCAACTTCATCATGAAAGAGGGTCAGATAATTAAGTTAATAGTCAATTAAAATTTATGGATTTAAATGGAACTGTTCTTCTAATATCAATGGTTTAAAGTGGTGATTAGGACATAAGGTTACCTGGAAATCTCCAAAGCAGTAAGACCAATTCTTAGGATTTGTCCGTCTAGCAACTCTAGATCCACTTCATGTCAAAAAGAACATACCTTTTTCTCACCCTCATTCCCTGTACATCCCGTTTACAGAATATAGCTATTTTGTCTATTTTGATCTCCTTCTGAATATGCATTATTAGCCACCAGTGGTCAAACAAAAACAATAAGAAAATCAAGAATAATTATTCTTAAATGAATTCATTGGAAAAGCTCAAAATAGGCGTTGAGAACAATGAAACATTAAAACTGTTTTCTTATTTTGTTGCAAGGCTATACAAAACACCAAACCAATAAGACAATGCATGTTTTATTAACAGATTTGAAGCATAACCAATGCTTATATTGAGTATCATGGAAAATATAATAATATGACTCAAGTTGTAAAACAGTAATACAACTTACATTTATCAGTAATTCAGACAATATTAGGATCTTTTAAAATCAATTAACATACAAAAATAATTAGTCAGACAACTCTATAACTTCATTTGATGAGAATGCCATTTTCAAAACATTTAATTAGTATTAACAGATTGTATGTGGGGATAGTGATTGACATATAGTGAGTAGCTGTACAAATATATCAAGCATAGTGGAAGAAGTGTGTAGTGTGCACTGTAGACTGATGCAGTTCTGTCTTAACTATCATAAATCAATTACATTTAAAAATTAATTTTTAATCTGTTCAAACTAGTAATATGTTTTGAAGAATAACGTCATCTCAGTTATCAAAGGCTGCATTCATCTTTAAAAAATGCTCTATGGTTTGATACTTAAAAAACGTATTTCACCTCCAGTTTAAGGTGAGGTTCATTTGACTCAATCTTGAATTTTCTGCGTAGTCTGTGTACTGGTGATTGTCTTTTCATTATAATTATTTTTTTTTGCCATGATGCTGTATGTCCTTTGTTTACTAATGATCGCATTTTCCCCTAGGTATTTTCTTATTGTTAAAAATATAATAATGTAAAATACATGAAAAGGTATAGGCACTTTGATGACTTATGGAATGTTATAATATACATATGTTATTTAAAAAATTCAAAATTATTTCATGTAAATATAAGCAATCTCATTAGCAACTACATAATAAAAACCACTTTCAATTTGCTAAAAGCTCTAATATTTTGTTCGTAAGCTAATCTTTTGCTGTTTCTTTGCTGTAACTGCATTCTTTCTACTATTTCTGCATTTAAAACATTTTGTTTTGAAAGATAGAAGTAAAAGTTGAAGCTTTTTTCTAATTTCAATGCTGAAAAAGACAAATTGATGACATGCGTAAAAAAAATAGAGAGACTTCAAAGATTGTATATTACAAAGTTTTCTCTTTGGTACAAACACCTAAATAGTTAGTTCCCTTGTAGCTTAGACATATTGTAATATCATGTTCCAACTGCCAATGGTTATACCATCAATATCTTCACTAAAGAAAAACCAGACATAAATAACATTAATATTACTATCAACTATGGCAATATATACAAGTAGTTTTGGTATGAAAAGTATAAGAAAGGCTTTATATAATCATTTCAGCATCAATATATTAACATATTTATTCCAAAAAAAAATAGTTTTTTTGTAATAAAACAACTATAATACCCTCTGTATCATTTTGTGAAATATCTCAATCTACCTGTCAATAAATCATGATATGAATATCAAGTCTTTCATCTATTGTGCTTCATTGCAAAAAAAAAATGCCTTTACCTTCTTTTTATAAAAATAAGAGATGTGGTATGATTGCTTTTGAAATAACTATCCAACAGAATCCAAATGAAGTTGTTTTAAGCAACTATAGGTTACTGTACAGTGACTTATAATTAGTATCTTATACATATACATTGTTTACTACATGTTGCAATAATAATCACTAGGCAATAATAACTTAACACCTAGAATTCAATTTTACTACACAATATCATTTTTTGCAGCTAACATTTGCGTAATAATTGTATGCATGTTTTACTTTTCATTTTTTTATACATTATGCCAGCATTAAAAATTAGATATACAAAAGCACAACTCAGCTATTTTAAAATGACTTACTATTCATTTTTAAATAAGTGTTTTACAATTTGATAAGCTTCGCTTTAAAATTGGATCATACATTCCGGTTTCATTGTCATTTCTGTCTGAAGATGTCACTATTCTTTCCTTCAATCAGTTTAAATGATAAATACTTTTGATTTTTTAAAAAGAACTCTAAATTTGTACTTTTCAAATTATCAAAGTTCTTTCATAGGATAAATCGATATTTTTGTTAATCATATGAAACAAATTTCCTAAAAAACTGGTACATTTAAAAAATGAAAAATAAAATGTCAATATATTAATCATCTACAATAACTGTTTTTCATTATCAAGTGCATCACAGTTTCTCATGTTAAATCATTTTTGTAATAAAAAATTATAAAATACTTTTTATAAAACTTAATAAATACTTAATCTATACATAGAACTATTTTGTTTGATCACAGTTACCTCAATGTTGTCCTCTCCAAACATTATGCTATATATATATATCTATCTTTGTTAGTAACAAAAACTCTAAATTAAATAACTCGGTTTATAAACTTCAAATTCTTCATCGCTCTTACATGGTCAAATGTAATACTAGGAATAAAAACAGAAACAATACTGTCCTCTTCTGGATCAAACAATCTATAATCAAATAGTTGTACAGCTAGAGGCGATGAATTATACCCTTTAAATTCTTCTATTGCTATTTTCTAAAATTTTCCTATTATAATTTTTCATCTCAAGATACTCGAATGAGATGAGTTTTTCTCAGTTGTGTGGAAAGAGCAAGCAAAGACATCATATTAAAGCCATACATCATTGATGTTGCCTAGGAAATTAGCAATAAAGGGAACCTAGGAAATTAGCAATAAAGGGAATATTTATGTTTTTCGAAACTCAATACAATTTTTATATTCTCATCAATCTAAAAGGCTGTTGCCTTTGAGGAGATGAGGAAGAGAAAAGGTATTGAATTTCAAAAAAACATGTGTAATCCAAAAGGATCAAGCATACCACATTCCTTCTTTTGTTTGTCATTACTCCATCCATAATTTCAAAAAATATTACACTTAATGATTTGTAAAATTTTCAGTAGTTGTATTTCAAGCAATATATACAATAGTCTATTTCTAGTCAGAGGAAAACATCCTTAAGTGTTCAGTTTCATTAGTGATTAATCTAAAATAGTCTCAGCTTACTTCAGTATAATTAGTGATAACAATCTGATTTTTTAAAGACCATGTCATCAGGCGAGTTTGATAACATACTGTATTGTCACGAATTAACCTAATATATTTCTTCTAATAAAAATGTTCCAACAGCAAACCATCTAAGCAATTTGTCTACCTAAAAAGACATGAGTGTATTAGTTATAAATTTTAAATAAAATGCTCCGCTGGGGCGCAGCTTGATACGACCGCAGAGGTCTAACCCTGAACAGTTGGGGCAAGTATGGACACAACATTCAAGCTTGATACACCTCTGAATTTGGATTGTGATTAAATATTTGATACAGCATAGGTTTCTGACACAGAATGAATGTGGTCTAAGAACTTAAAAAATTTTAATTTACCTATTCAAACCATATCATTATTATTTGCTTTTATATATAAATCAGAAATAACCAATTTAAAATGGAAAATTTTAAAGAAAAAAAAGGAAAAAAGGAAAAAAAATCCCCCCCCCCAATTCTTTGAACCCCCTTATGATTCATCACCCCCAAACTCAATCCCAGGCTTTACTTTGTGGTATGGTATCTTGCAGTACAATTTCAGAGAGATCCATACACTTGAACACAAGTTATTGTCTGGAAACTAGAAAAAATGCTTATTTTTAGCCCCTTTTTGGCCCCTTATTCCTAAACGTTTTGGGCAATTTCCCCTAAACTCAATTCCAGCTTTCCCTTTGTGATATGGAACCTTGTGAACAATTTCAGAAAGATCCATACACTTACATACAAGTTATTGTCATGAAACTAGAAAATTGCTTGTTTTTTGCCCCTTTTTTTGGCCCCTTATTCCTAAAATTTCGAGGCAATTACCCCTAAAATCAATCCCAGCATTCCTTTTGTGATATAAAACCTTGTGGTACAATGTCAGAGAGATCCATACACTAACACACAAGTTATTGTCTGGAAGTTACAATGCTTATTTTTGGCCCCTAATTCCTGAACTGTTGGTACCATATCCCCCAAAATCAATCCCAACCTTCCTTTTGTGGTATTGAACCTTATGGTAAAATTTCATAGAGATCCATTAACTTAAACTAAAGTTATTGTGCAAAAACCAATGTGTCTTCTGACGACGACGACGACGACGCCAACGTCATACCAATATACGACCGCAAAAAATGTTTGCGGTTGTATAATAAAACTGGTATCACAGAGAAATAAATGCCTTGCCTGAATACAGCAGAATAAAAAGAATAATTCCATGATATGTAATATTTTTGATTAGAGTGAGTGTCCTTTTCAAAATATTCAAATAGAATGGAGTAGGACTAAAGAATAAGGCTTCACAATCTTCTTGAAAATGCTAGTCTAATTTCATTGGTTAATAATTCATTACTTTTAATAAAAACAAGTAATTTTACATTAACACAATGTAGAATTTCTAAGGTCACTGAAGCATGATTCATAAATGTTAATGCAATAACATTCCTAATATCAATTGACTACTGTAAATTCAGAAATTATTGCGATGTTTTTATTATTGCGAAAAATGTGCAGGGTTATAATCGCAATAATTAAACTCGCATTTCAGTCTAAAATGACAAAATCGCAATAATAAATGCACACAATAATTTCTAAATTTACAGTATTCTGAGAAACTTCATTATTAACACACCTAGGCAGAATATCTCATATTGAAGCAAGTGTTAGAAAACCCATCTTTTAAAGCATGTGATGCGTTACTTTTGCACATAATAACCATTACATTTGTGTTCCGCTTTTTATTGCATTTCCAATTACTGCAAATTCAACTATAAATGTGTGCATGTATTATTGAGAATCCTTGACCACTGGCAAATATGTGAAGATTACGAAAAATTTTATGATGGAAAATCACTAATTAAATTATGAATGAGACTTTTCATTATTGCAAACCTGATACTGTCACATATTTGGCATTAATAAATATATAACAACTTAATTTACAGTAGCTTTACATTACATTCACAGGTAAACTAATTTACAGTAGCTTTACATTACAGTCACAGGTAAACTAATTTACAGTAGCTTTTCATTACATTCACAGGTAAACCAAGATACATTTTAGGCAAATCTAAAATTGTCCAATATATGTTGATATGTTTAAAACATATCCTAATAGAAAAACCTTTGTTTTGCCTTCAAGGACATTAGTTGCTGGAAAATAAACAATACAATGTAAAGTTAATATAAAGAAAACAATTGATGGCACAACAGTTGACTTTTACAGAAAGTTGCAGTTTCCCATGTTTCTGGTACATAAAAAAATGTCTTTTGTTTTTATAATATGTTGTGCCTAATTCTTACAGAATATTTTACTTTATGTTATTTCGCATCATCAAATAATCACTACCAATGTAATGGAACTGGTAACAATAATTAAGCACGTGCATATTGGTTTACAAATTATAAACTAGAACTTTGAGTGGATACCCCTGCAATACTATGATTATATTGATGTCAGTTAATTTGATTATCTCTGAATAAGGTTTATGCTTCTTTGTGAACATCATCAGGTTGTGTTATACAACTGTGTGTAGTTTGTCAATATTTGTCTATCTTTTTAAGGTGGAGTTGCCCAAAATAGGTACATGGACACACAGACTGATGGCTAGACCTGCAGACAAGGTGATTTCTATATAACCACCCCAAAACTTTGTTTGTGGAGGGTATAAATATGTGTATCATACAATAAAATAAGACAAATATAAAATGATATATAAAATAACACCGATTAAACATATAACAAACAAAAAATAAATGTTAGGAATGATCAATCATTAACACAAATATATACAGATTTTTCTGAACTTGAATTAAATGTTGCCAGTTTTGTCTTCAGACTGAGCCAAAATGGCCAAAGTTCCCTTCCAGGACATAAACAAAGGCCATAAATAGTTATACATTTTCATATATGGTATGCTTGGAGCTATAAACTCTGTTTTTTTAAATGTGTATCTATTGTGAATATAATATCGTAAACATTTTTACTGTATAACAGTACACTTTCAATTTGCAATTTAATAGTGTTCTTTCTTTGTATAGACAGGGAACTGTTGTCACTCTAGGACCAGTCTGAATACATAAGCAGAATCTAAAACAAAATCAAAATGAGGATGCAAAACAAACTATTAGTTACAAATTATAAATATACAACAATACAAACAATTTTAAATACATAGTGTTATTTTTTATTAATAAGGAATTTTGATGCAGAGAAATCAATAAGATTAATGTTATTGCTATATATGTATGATTTCCTATTCTGTATCATAGGATAATATACATATTTGGTTGGACAGTCTTATCAAAGTATGAATAGAGCATATGATGTAAATAGCATGACCCAGTGTTCTCCCAAGGCTGTTTTAGCGCTGTGGTTTTCAGGGCAATCGTATTTAAGCATAGTGCTATTGGGCAGACCGCAGTGGTATCCAATCAAATATTGGCGCTATTGCTTTTTAATTTTTAAATTCTGGTGTTTATCTGTACAACTTTGATCCATGATCATCTGGTTGATACGTCCGAGATAATTTATTTACCTAATGAAGTCAAATATGGGAGGGGTCAGTTCAATGAAAGAACAAAATGGCATCATTGGCAGAACTTTAACTGTCAAAAATACCTATTTCTTTCTAGAGATTTTAACTTTAAAGAAAAAAGAGATCTAGAAATTTCTAGAAAGGGATGGAAATTGCTCATGAAATCATTTCCAAAGCATTTAAGAAAAGTTTTACCCTTTCTCTGACAACCTGGTCTTGTTCAACTTTTGAATCATCTACGATTAACTAAACTGATAACTTGTCCTTGAATCACTATTTACAAAATCTAATAGAGGATAAACAAAACAATAAAAATCTCTTTATATTATAAAATTATTTTTTGCAATTCAACTTTCATTAGATTTCAAGATATTATTTTAAAATCAATATTGACAGAGGATTGCTTGGATTTGAAATAGCATTTAATGATTCATAGAAACAGCCATTTAGTCAGTGTGTAAACAGGAACGGGGAAAAAAAAGGGAGACAATTTTGGAGGAAAAATGTACTAAAACCAGTATTGTCAAATATTTCTGGTGCCAGGTGGCAATAATTTAAACATTGTAAAGTTATTAAACACAATACTTAAAGGTGGATGTTTCAATTGGCAAATATAATTGGTATTGATAACTCACCTTTAATAATAAAAAAAATCATTCTTTAAAAAAAAAATAGGTTTCTATCAGATGCATCTTGGAATGTGTTAGCATTTCTTAAAAAATGTCTTTGATACCATTTTTAGTACTTATTATGGAAAGGGTAATTCTATTTCTTTCTTTGATATGAAATAATATACCCACTTTACATGCAAAATGTAATCTTGAAAGATGTATGAAATCCATTTGAAATAAAAGTTTAAGAAAAAAGTCCAATTTGGTCATTGAAATCTTTCTTTAAATAGGTGTCAGTTAATTATGAAGTTGTAAATGAAATACATAACTAGTTTATAATTCAACCTACTAAAAGTGAAAAAAAGATATACCTACTGTGCTACATTTACATACTTTCTCTTTAAAAAAAGGATGGGTGGGTTGGTAATGAAATCAAAATATGGAAATTATCTAGGCACTTTAATTTTTAAAGCTAAATAATGAAAATGTAACTTATTTCCATTTCTGTTCATGCATATGTATAAAAAAATCCTGGGAGAACACTGTGACCTCTAAATATTTCCTCATATGAACTTTTTGACTTATAATGGATTATAAACAAGTTTTTGTTTAGGAATATATTACTGATGGTAAAAGAAAATTTTGCTTATGAGATAAACTTCTTAAGATAAGCATCTCAAGTTCATTAACTATTTAAAAGTCTGTATGGAATTTGTTTAAGAAATATTTTGATTTATCATTAGTTTGATTATTTTACAGAAACAAATTGTTCAATAACAATGAATTTCCTCTGAGTAAATGTATATAAAATAAAGTCCTTAAATTTAATATTATTAAACTGAATTATTATCATACTACATTCAACTGGAATTAAATACTTCAGTTAATTCTTCATTTTGATTGGTTTATCAAGTCAACAATATAAGAAATAATTCAATGGTTGTTTTTTTTAAAACATTTTACTGAAAAAAAACATTAACTACAGTATAGTTTTTGTATATTTCACTTGACACAAAAACTCCAGGCATATCCAGAAACACAAACAAGGAGTTCCAAATTGACATTTGACAACTTATGGGAAATTGAAATATTCACATAAATCAAACCAATTATATTTGAACACACTTCAACTATGAGACAGTTTAACATTGTTCTTTTTTACATGTTGGTATGGTATACAGGAATAATTGTCAATTATCTGAAGAAAAAAAACTTATATCCATTTACATGGGTTTTTTCATATTTCAAAATATGTGGTAAAGAGAATAGGAAAAATTAATAAAAATCACTTTATAAAGTCTAACAGATATATATGTTATTTGACACTATTAGAAACCACTTATTGTCAAAACTAAGTTTTATTTTTTTCTAATCTAACCTTAAGGTGTAAAATGCTTTTATTGAATGAATGAATTCTTAATTGCAAAACAGTAGTTACATGCTATAGCAACACACACATATTGAATTTTAGAACTTACTGGAGTTGAATTTTTATTTCATATTTTTTATTTAAAGTTCCAACAAAAGTTTTCAACAACAGACAGACTGATAAGTAAGTTACAACTAAACAATTCTGTTGTTAATTGTTCCCTTATAAAATGCTGCAATTACATTGGTGATTCCACATAACTTTCATGTAATGGTTTTGATGAATTCTCATAAAAATATATTACAACACCATGAAAGCACCATATACAAAACTTGCCAGTGACAAAAACTTTTTAGAACTGCCAAAATAAACATGATAAATGAAATTTATAATTTTACATAAAAAGCACATTTATAAGCAACCTATTGTACCAATGGTATAAATAATAGCAGTATAACAGGGTTAAAAGAACTACTAAGAAGTGTTGTACAAAAATTTGAACCTTGTTCTCTAATTCTCGTTTTGTATTTCAATTCTATGACATTACATACAGAGATCTTATCAATTTACATATAATGTCAATAAGATAATCTGACATTTTACAAAAAAACATAACAAACAAACTTTAGTGTGAGCAACTACTCACAAATTAAAAACCCTTTCCCTTGTTGATTGTTAGCATAATCCTATGACTTATGCATCTGGATCACACAGAGCAGAAATACATATATTTGGCTTTCTTAACCGAAAATCTTAATTATTTTTATATATTGTATTTGGTATCATTCTATAACCTGCATAATATGTCATACAACAACCTTGCATATTTCAAAATGCCAAAAATTCTAAATATAAGTGAAACATTTGCACTTCATAAACAATTACTGTTATGATCTTCCCAAATTTTCACAACCCAGTTAGCTATTACCAATTATTAAATATTTGCTTAAATTTTTATAGAAAATCTCAAATTGTAATAAAATGTCTTCTATCATATATCATTGAAAAATTTTCAATACAGACATACTATTATAATAATGCCATATTCATCAATAACCACTGGGTAAAGGACCAATGTATGGAATACAGGCTCTTAGTTTCTAGCACTGACTTAGACTTTTGATTGTTCACTGGGGGATTGGGTAGGCTCAGTAACTTCCACAATATTACTGTCATCTGATGCTGATGATGAGGAAGTTCTAGTCAATTCTTCTTCTGAACTTGCCTCTCGTAGTACCTATGAAAATAAAATATACACATACAACATTTTAATTATTTTCTTCTTTTTTTTTAAAATAACTTTTTACTTCTTTTGATCTCCCAAAGAAGTCTCTATTATCAATCTTTGTATTAAACTGTTGACACAGAGATATGTCTCATGTTTTGTAATTTTGATGGTATAATGCAAAGGTTGAAATTAAAATGGCAAAATTTCAACATGTAAATTAAACTGCAAATAGTTCAAAGTCAATGAACTATCATAATAGGCCAAATAACCTCCATGAAAATGTGAATTGCCAATGCTTATTAAACTGCATAACAAATACCACCGACTTATCAAAAGTGGTTCCCTTTCAACTAATCTAAACACAAACTTTGTTGTAAACTATGTAAAAGTTACAAAGTCAATGAACCGTGATGAGGGGATGGTGCCATATAATCTTCATGGAAATTAGACTTGCAAATGTCAATACATGTACAACTGTATACCAAATATCTTAACTTGACTTAACATTAGTCTTTCATCTTAAACTGATATAATTACTAACTTTTACTTGTAAATAATGTAAAACATTCAAAATCAATGAACCTTGACTGATGAGGGAGCCATACAATCTCCATGGAAATGAGATGTGCCAATTTATACAACTGCATACCAAATATCATTGACCTACCACTAATGGTTCCCCTTAAACTGACCTAATCACAAACTTTTACATGTAAACTAAGCAAAAGTTTCAAAGTCAATAGAACATAACTGATGGGGCGGGGTCAAATAATCTATATGGAAATGAAATGTGCCAATGCTAATACAACTGCATACCAAATATCATTGACTTGATATTTGTGGTTCCACTTAACCTGACCTAATCACAAACTTCAACAAATTGTTGAAGCCATATTTGAAACAGCATGCCAAAGTCTTAACTTTGTGATTTCGTCCTAGCAAGACAAACAATGATTGATTGAAAACAATTTTGAAAGAAATTATTATAAATGTATTTCTATTTATCCTAAGATCCATGTTGGTGCCATTTTGGATTTGGGATCAATGGTTATGACCATTTTACATTTTGGATCTAAAACTTTATTTAAATAATGATGTCAGATGTCCATCTTTGGGTAGTTACAATAGCCAATTGTTGTTTACTTGCTAAAACACTTAATTGAATATGCTTGGTATTTACATTTCTAACATAAGATCCATTGTAAAACATATTATATTCATGGTACCCATCTTTGAATTTGGACAAACAAAACAATCATTAGTTCTGTTCATGTCTATCGAGACAATTGCCATCAGCAGTTCTTTTCAATATATGCCTTCAAATATTTGTGAGCTAACAAACAGAAAATACACATTTCTATTTCTAAAAAAATGGCTGCAGTACTTATATGACTACAGCAAAATGGTTTAAACTTACCCTCAAATGCTCTTCAATATCAGCTAATGATTGGTCAATCCAATCCATACTGCCAGAAAACTGACAAGCATGCTTTGTGACTAAAACAAGATGGCTAACAGACAGAACCAATGCCGTACACCTGAAATATATATAAATTGATCTGTTTGTCTGAAATTTTTTGCTATCAACATAGGCAAATAATAGAACATAATGTTTGTAGATCTACTGGTATAGTACTTCTAAATAAATTGACCTAATCAGTAAAACAAGCATGTTCAGTTATTGAAGCATGATTAAGGGATCAGGAGTCGGTTTCAAAAAAAAAAACTTAGGACTAAGATTGATCGTAAGTATACTGAATTGTTCATGACTTACGATCAATATTAGTCGTAAGTTTTTTGTGAAACCAACTCCAGAGCTTCATATTCTCTCTAAAAACAAAGTGCATGAATCATTCCTTGATACTAAATCAAAAGCTTTGATCAGCATAAAAGGTAAAAATTCTAAAGACTTAATAAAAATAAACTGTTGACACAGAGATGTCTCGCCAGGGCTTCCAAAAAATATTTGAGCCAGCCGGACATTTTATATCTTATCCCGATTTTAATCTCTTAAGACTAAGTCACAAAAGGCAATTATGGTAATCAGATTGCCATCCCAATGATTGACATTAGATTAAAAAAAAAACGATATTAAACTTTACTTTGATGTGAATTTGATGTTCGGACGTAAACTGTTAAATTGGCAGTGCATAATTCGAAGTGTGCACATCAGTGTGCTCATAACTGCCTTAGACTCTTTATTTGTGCAAAATTACGTTGTCAAAAACTTTACTTTCGTTTTTAAAATCACGTTTTCCTAATACCGGATGTTGACCTGACAATGGTAAAACATGGACCAGAAACGGATACGTAAAATCCGTGTACGTTTACAAAGCACGACTGAATGAAGAAGCTCTTTCCACGTTATTTCTGCAACAAAATACTTGAAATGAACGTTAGATACAGGTATCAATGATAATTTTTATCATTTTTTAAGAAATGAAGGATGCATAATATTAAATTTCCCTACTGCGCACATGCGCACACGTGTTCTAGTTCATAAAACGTAGTTCTTACGATTTTTCATTTAAAACCTTTTTAAATTTTTCATCAAATCATGTTTATAAACGTATTTCTTATAATTTCAATCTTTTGGACTAAATCAATTAGATAGAAACCGCCGAAATGTAAGAAATTAACTTTGAATAGACCGATCAATTTATACGATGTCCGGTACTGGAAATAGTTTACCTGTCACCTGAACAGGTAGATTTCAGCTGTCCAAAAACTAATTAGCCTTGATTAAAATTAGAAAGTATTGAAGTAGGGGTTGTTTTGATAGTAATTAATCATCATGTCACTTTTATGACCGGAAATGTGTGGCTGTTAAAGGCAAAAGGTTGGGTCAAAAAGATCGCGAATTATGCTAAAATGACCGTCTCTTAAGAAAGCCTTGACAACTAAAAAGTAGATGACCGTTTCATGCTTTGCCCAGCCGGACTTTTACCGGACATTATACAATTGTCCGGAATATATGACCGTTTTGGAAGCCTTGTGTCTCGCCTGTCTGCATAAAATTCAGAAAAAGACAATCTGATGGACAGCAACATTGCTAATTAATTCAGTCGCAGGACCAATCAGTGGGTAGGGCCTCGAAATGGTTGACAAACTGAGATGTACAGACAGCAATGTAACTTTATAGAAAATATTGTCTATTGTAAGTAGTTCCTATCAAACTAACTTAATCAGAAAACTGAACATTAAAGAAATTTAATTGATTGAAAGTCACTGGACCATGACCTAGGAGCAGGGTCTTAAAATAGTCGTCAAACTGATATGTACTGATAGTAATACAACTTTATAGAAAATATCATTGATCTATCGCAAGTAGTTCATATCAAACTAACTTAAGCAGAAAAATTATCATTGATGGCTACTTAAATCAAAGTCACTCAACCATGGCCTAGGGGACAGGGCCTCAAAATAGTCGTGAAACTGATATGTACTAATAGCAATGCAACTTAACACAAAATATCATTGATCTATCACCAGTAGTTCCCATCAGCCTAACTTTTAACATTTAAAATGGCTAATTAATTCAATGTCACTGGGCCATGGCCTTGGGGGCAGGTCCTCAAAATTGTCGTCAAACTGATATGTACTGATAGTAATGCAACTTCATACAAAATATCATTGCCCTATCACAAGTAGTTCCTATCAAACTAACTTAAGCAGAAAACTTAACAATGAAAATGGCTAATTAAATCAAAGTCACTGGACCATGGCCCTGGGGGCAGGTCCTCAAAATTGTCGTCAAACTGATATGTACTGATAGTAATGCAACTTCATACAGAATATCATTGCCCTATCACTAGTAGTTCTTATCAAACTAACTTAAGCAGAAAAACTTAACAATTGTTGACGCTGTCATCGCCGTCGCCAGAAAAGCAATCCCAATGTCTCGCTGTGACAAAAACCAAGTGTTTCTAAAAGAAAATGTCTTATGATGATGAGAGCCCTACTTTTACACATTTTTGGATTTCAACGTTTCTTCAGAACTTTAAAAGACTAGCATTTATCTTACCTGGCTTCTAGTAATCTTGGATCTAGTGGTGGATACATGGAATTAACAACTTCATCCACTCTAGGACTTATTCTTTTTGCCACAGCAATAATATCTGTCAGTAATTCTTGGGTGCGTATCATCTGGGAATTTCCCATTGTCATACCAACTAGACGTTCCGTCAAAATATGACAGGTTTTTAAAATGGCAATACAATGAGGAACTAAACCACTGAAATGCAACATGCAAAAAACTTTTATAAATATTTTATAACAATATTACTATTATTATCATTTAATTTCATTTTAAGTCATACCAACTAGACGTTCCGTCAAAATATGACAGGTTTTTAAAATGGCAATACAATGAGGAACTAAACCACTGAAATGCAACATGCAAAAAACTTTTATAAATATTTTATAACAATATTACTATTATTATCATTTAATTTCATTTTAATTTTTTATATCTTAAAATATGCTAGAAAATGATGTTTCCTGGAATAATGATTAATTTATCAAGTATCTTTAGTTTTCTTTGATAGACTAAGAAATGAAAAAAAAATCTATCTTGAATTGTCAATGATTGTATATAAGAGACATATGCATAATTATGAAAAAAATATGACAAATAGACTGATGGACAGACAGGAAAGTTGAAAACTATATAACTAATATATAAGTCTTTAAACTCTGGAGGTACTAAATTAATCTGAAATTTGTCATAGAAAAGATGTTATACAAATTTCTACATATATAATAACTATCTGTGTCTTTGAGATGTAGATTAGCAATACAAGAACTCTTCTTGAGCTTGAGTTTTGTTAAGGGCATACGATACAGTAGAGATCCCTCGTTGATTTTTTCTTGACATTTTGGCAGAAGGTCAATTTCGATGCGTACTTTTGAAATATGCAAAGAAAAATATACCTTCATGACTTACTTTTTGAGATAATTTGGTTCGAAATTTGCATATTTGAAGGAAAAACCCTGAAATTTCAAAAATCAGGACTTTTAAGGAAAGTACCAATACTTTTGAACGAACAGTCATAATTTAACCGGGTTTTTTGTAAAATGTTCCCTTGATCCATGGCATCAGCATGCTGTAACAAGTTAACGGTTGAAATAAATATTTATATCCTAAATTCTTTTAATACAAGTGAAATAAAGAAGATGAAAATATTTTTGCGTCTACACAGAAGTGCAGAAAAAATTCTATCGTTGATTTTTTCTTAAAATTTTGGCGGAGCGTTCTTGAAACAGAACCTGATTGATTGCAAAAGAAAAAACTGGGGGTCCATGTGCTTGTTTTTTCAATAAAAGCAATAAACCTTAATTTTTATTGGCAAACGTCCCGTTTGCCAATAAGGCGCCAAACTACGTTGGAATAAGTTTTATTCGCAACAACGTCGTGAAATCTTTCCCGCCGTTCACTACTACGTTGTCAATTTCAGTGGTAGAGCCAAGGTTTTTTTTTTAAACCAATGATATTAATCATGAAAATTAATGAAGCTGGCTCCTCGTAAATAGCATCATTTTTGCCAAACCTTTATGAATTGTTACGAAACTTGCATAGAAAAAGTATTCTAGTAAATTACTTTTAGAAAAGAAATGTTCGGAAACAAAACAGATATATATATAATAAAAAAATTAATTTGCATCTCTGCATGTCCGACATTAGTCATACAATTCATGTAGACAACACAGCTTGAACATACATGTAGTTTTAATTATTCAAAAGGCCCAGACATGACAAAATGTGCAACAATTATAAAGTAAGGGGGATGATATAAAAATAAGGACATTTGGTATGATTGCAAAATAGAAAACTATCAACCATAGTTCAAATGACGAAGATAAACGCTATTAAAGGTAACCCTACGGCCTTCAACACAAAAAAAAAAAAAGAAAGAAAAAAAAAGCCACACAGTATAGTCAGCTTTAAAAAGCCCCGAAATGAAAATGTGAAATAATTCAAACAAGAAAACTAACGACCTACTCAATAGGCATTACATGAACACAAAATCATACCCACATTAAATCGGGTCAGCTTAGTCCATTACAGTGTAGTATAACATTTCATACAGCAGTCGATATAAGAGCATGAAATTTAATGATTCTGTATCAATAGATAAGTTACCTAAGCTTGTCTTCAGGGTATTTTTTTTTATTACGGTACATATAATCATTGAATTACTTGTCTGTATTATACCTTCAATCTAGGAGTGAGTGCAACCACATTGTTTGTCCGGTCCAACAAATATATTTATCTTATCTGAGAAACTTCTTTACAAAAAGACTTCGTATTGTTCAGTAACTTAACATCAATGAGTTGCAACTCTGGTCTGTCAAATACCAAATTCCTGTGTGCCGATTTTTCTCTCTCAATATGTACATAGAGGATATGCTTAGCACATCAACGGGTGCGTTTTTGTTTTTGGGCTATAATACGGGGCTTATAACTGTGTCATTTTAACTGACAGTTCTTCTTCATACACATATATATTCCACGGGTTAAATTCTAAAAATGTCGTTAAACTCTTTATTGTACCTTTTCAAAGTCAGGAACAGTAAGATGCGCTGTCATTATTTAATATTACGTTTTTTTTGTGAGCCAAATGGTGAAGTTACTATATAAATTATTTTCATATCTCTTATTCATTTCCTATATGAAATAACAGACATACAAAGTTAAGAATGTGGATTTGATTTTTTCCCCATTCGAAGTTAATATTGTTGACTTCCTTATTAATGAATAAATATAACAATTCTCGTGATTTGGCCGATTTCCATTGCAGGTACTTTTTTCAAATTCGCGCAATCGGGATTATGACGTCAGTGGATTTTCCGCAAATGTGACTACATCTAAAGCGATGTCGCGAAATGTAATCGTTCTTATTAGAAACATCGCGAAATTACAACGTTCTGATTAACAACGTCGCGAAAACAACACGAAAAGTTTTGAAAACGTTATTATCTGCCCCTGCTACTGTATCGTATGCCCTTAAGTGTATGTAAGGATGTTATACCAAGACTTAATACACCATCTCCTTTCATTTTCATTTTATAATGCTAAAACTTGTCAGAAAAGAACTGTGGGCATTGAGTTTACATACCCCCTGCATTTATATCCAGTAGTCATACAAATATTATCAACTCTCTCAGAGCAAGGAGGTGAATACATGAGAATAATAGGCAAATAAATGGAGAAACAGGTGATGCTCCGCTTGCATATAATGTTATAAAGGGACATAACTCAAGAACGGCAAAAAGTGATGCCACCCAATAGTTATTAAGATATTAGGTAATAACGCAAAAAATTGGTAAAAATCGTCATTAAAGGGCAATAACTATAATGAGTCGTCTGACGATTTTGGTCATGATGACTTGTAGATCTTGTCTTGCTGATCATTTTTACTTCTAAAGTTTCTGTCTATGCATTATAATTTTTCGAGATAATAGGCAAAATATTTAAACTAGAGGCTCTCAAGAGCCTGTGTTGCTCACTTGTATCTACTGTGGTTTTGGAAATCATGTAAAATAAGGTTAAAATCATAATAAATAGTATTAGACACCCTAATAATGATTGAGGCAAAGTTTTGTTTAATTTGGCCCAGTAGTTAAATTAAAAGCAGGTCATCCCACTAGTAACTAGTCTTACAATAGTTACTGAAGACTACTAATCATTATTTAAATTAGTTTTCAAGTTGTGACCATTTGAAATTGGTTTTTTTTACAATTTTACCCTAGACTTCTATAGTAAATCCCTATGTTCTATTTTTAGCCATGGCGGCAATGTTGGTTGGATGGCAGGGTCATCGGATGCATTTTTCAATCAAGATACCCTATTGAAAATTGTGGCTAATTTTACTTTCTATTTGAAAAAAAATTTGTTAAAAATGGACTATAAAGGGCAATAACTATTTATGGGGTCAATTGACAATTTTGGTCATATGACTTATTTGTAGATCGTACATTGCTGAACATTATTGCTGTTTACAGTTTATCTCTATCTATAATAATATTTAAAATAATAAACAAAAACTGCAAAATTTCCTGAAATTACCAATTCAGGGGCAGCAACCCAACAACAGGTTGTCTGATTTGTCTGAAAATTGCAGGGCAGGTAAATCTAAACCTGATGTACATTTTTACCCATGTCAGATTGCTCTAAATGCTTTAATTTTAGAGATATAAGCCAAAAACTGCATTTTACCCTTATGTTCTATTTTTAGCCATGTTGGCCATGTTGGTTGGCATGCAGGGTCATCGGACATATGTTTTAAACTAGATACCCTAATGATGATTGTGGCCAAGTTTGGTTAAATTTGGCCCAGTAGTTTCAGAGGAGAAGATTATTGTAAAAGTTACAACGGACGAGGACGAGTGACGATGGACGCCAAGTGATGAGAAAAGCTCACTTTGCCCAATCGTAAAATTTTTTAAAAATCGTAAAATTTAAGGGCAATAAATCGTATAAGAAGTCATCTAACAGTTTTGATACAAATGGACTATAGGTAAAGTTCCACATTCTGAACATTTTTCGCACCTGTCAAATTTTCTCTCTTTATCGCGGTTTTCAAAATAATAGGCAAAACTTGCATTTTTACCCTATGTTCTATTCTTAGCCATGTTGGCCATATTGGTTGACAGGCAAGGTCATCAGACACAATTTCCAAACTACATACCCTAATAATGATTGTGGACAAGTTTGGTTAAATTTAACCCAATAGTTTCAGAGGAGAAGATTTTTGTAAAAGTTAACGGACGAGGATGGACACCAGACACCAATTGATAAGAAAAGCTCACTTGGCCTTTTGACCAAGTGAGCTAAAAAATCAGAGCACATACTTTAATACTTGAAAAAGGCAAACAAAAAAGAAAACATAAAATTGGGACTGTAGTGCATAACATAATTTATAACAACTGTCTGAATCTATAAATAAAAAAAGAATAAAATGCTCCGCTGGGGCGCAGCTTGATACGACCGCAGAGGTTGAACCCTGAACAGTTGGGGCAAGTATGGACACAACATTCAAGCTTGATACAGCACTGAATTTGGATTGTTATTAAATATTTGACACAGCATAGGTTTCTCACACAGAATGAAAGTGGTTTAACTTAAAAATTTCTAATTTACCTATTCAAACCATATCATTATTATTTGCTTTTATATATAAATCAGAAATAACCAATTTTAAAAAAAAGGCAAAAAAAATCCCCCCCAATTTTTTGAACCCCTTATGATTCATCACCCCCAAACTCAATCCCAGCTTTCCCTTTGTGGTATGGTACCTTGCAGTACAATTTCAGTAAGATCCATACACTTGAACACAAGTTATTGTCTGGAAACTAGAAAAATGCTGGTTTTTTGGCCCCTTTTTGGCCCCAAATTCACCCTTTGTGATATGGAACCTTGCAGTACAATTTCATAAAGATCCATACACTTACACACAAGTTATTGTCCTGAAACTAGAAAAATGCTTGTTTTTTTGCCCTTTTATGGCCCCTAATTACTAAAATTTTGAGGGAATTACCCCCAAAATCAATCCCAGCCTTCCCTTTGTGCTATGGTACCTTGCAGTACAATTTCAGAGAGATCCATACATTTGAACACAAGTTATTGTCTGGAAACTAGAAAAGTGCTTATTTTTGGCCCCTTTTTGGCCCCCTATTCCTAAACTTTTTGGGCAATTACCCCCAAACTCAATTCCAGCTATCCCTTTGTGAAATGGAACCTTGAAGTACAATTTCATAAAGATCCATACACTTACACACAAGTTATTGTCATGAAACTAGAAAAATGGTTATTTTTTGCCCCTTTTTGGCCCCTAATTCCTAAAATTTGGAGGCAATTACCCCCAAAGTCAATCCAAGCATTCCCTTTGTGATATGGAACCTTGTGATACAATGTCAGAGAGATCCATACACTTACACACAAGTTATTGTCATGAAACTGGAAAAAATGCTTGTTTTTTGCCCCTTTTTGGCCCCTAATTCCTAAAATTTCGAGGCAATTACCCCCAAAATCAATCCCAGCATTTTTTTTGTGATATGGAACCTTGTGGTACAATGTCAGAGAGATCCATACACTTACACACAAGTTATGTCTGGAAGTTACAAAAATGCTTATTTTTGGCCCCTTTTTGGACCCTAATTCCTTAACTGTGGGTACCATTACCCCCAAAATCAATCTCCACCTTCCTTTTGTGGTATTGAACCTTATGGTAAAATTTCATTGAGATCCATTTCACTTAAACTAAAGTTAGAGTGCAAACGACGACGACGCCAACGTCATACCAATGTACGACCACAAAATTTGTTTTGCCCATCGTATAAAAAGATTGTTTCTATAAATCTAATAACATACGTTGCATCATCAACCCAATGTTCATCTTGTAATAACTGATCTAGTCTGGGGTTAGATATCCTAACTTCATCTAACTCAACATCAGCTGGATTAGACTGTGTGTCATCTTCTATCAACTGTACATCTGGCCTGAAATCAGAAATTAACAGATCGTATCCATTCTTTGTCAAAAATATGGTTATCACCTGTATCTAAATTAACTGAAATGTAACAAATTTGAAAAAGAGAGGAGTTATTGGAGTTTAATCTCATCAAAAGCCAAAAACATTTTCAAACACAATATAACAAAAACAAAATATTTTAGTTAGGAAAAACTTTTTGGATATTGAACTGTGAAGACAGACATCTTACACTCTATTGAATTATACTTCATCTTTATAACTAATGCCATGACACTAATTTTGTTGAAACATGCTTCTGGCACAATCACCAGTTTGTACTTATTGAGCAACAACATGACAGGTATTAATTGTGGATCTGGAACTACTTCCCCTTGTAGAGCATTTAGTTTATTCCCAAATTTTGGGAGGCTTGTGTTGCTTAGTCAAGTTTTTCTTGTAGCTTTTTGAGTGCACATGCTGAAATGTCTTGCCTGCTTTACTGAACATTGATTTTATGAAGTCTTACTGATAAAGGTTTTACTACAAGTATCACACAAACTAAATATTTCAGAGATCCGTGACAATGAGGTCAAGGTCAGATGAATCCTGTCAGACAGACATGGATACCTTACAATTAATCCATACACCAAATATAGTTGACCTATTGTTTATGGTAATTGAAAAAAAGACCAAAACACAAAAACTTAACATTGAACAATGAACCATGAAAATGAAATCTGCCAGACTGACATTTACCCCCTTGAAATCATTCCATACAACACATATAGTTCACCTACTGCTTATAGTATCTAAGACACAGACCTAATCACGTAACTTTAACCTTGATCACTGATCCATGAAAAGAGGTCCTGGTCAGGTGATCCCTATCTGACGCACATGTAGACATTGCAAGGAACCCAGATACCAAATATAGTTATCCTATTACTCATAATAAGTGAGAAATTCACATGACAATAAAACTATAATTTTTTTAAAGCAGTCACTGAACCATGAAAATGAGGTCAAGGACAACGGACATATGACAAACAGAAACTTCATAACATAAGGTATATGCATACAAGGTATGAAGCATCCAGGTCTTCTACTTTCTGAAATTAAAAGCTTTATACAAATAGTTTACGCCACTGCAGGATAGTAATCCCTATGTCTCACCATCAATTATCGTTCTATGGATTATGCAGCTCTTAATCCCTCTTATATGTTTACATGATAAATTATCTTTTATAAATGCTCTTATAAAATTGGATTTTAATTTGGTGTTACTGTGACCTTTATTAACTATGCATTTGGCCTGAATTACAATCTGGCCATGGTTAGGTATACCACCAAAAACTATTTTAATTTATCCATGTCTTAATTATCAACTGCTACATCTAAGACAACAAATCCTGATTGAGTAGAAATATTCTCCTAATCCATCTATCAGCAAACTTATTAAGTATTGATACACACACACATATATATTCATATATAATATGGTTTGAGAAAAGTTAATTTCATCCTTGTAGAATTAAATGTTTTAATTCTTCTTCATTTCAACATGTTCAAGCTACACATAGTTAATGAGTGAATAATTCTTTGTTATCAAGACCTTTCACTGTTGATGGTGACTAAATGATTGTTTTTGCTCAAGTAACAATATCCCTCCTTCCTCCATTGATACATGATGCTTACCTTGTATCCTTCAATTGTGATGTTATGAGATCGGTTTTCTTACATTTCACCTTACAAACATATAACAGTCCAACAAGAGAGGCAATAAATATGGTTGCTAATACACCAATGGCTACGGCAACTACTGTTTCCATCATGGCCATTCAATGACTAGGAAAAGCAATTTAACTTCAGCAAATCTTTCAAGGCCCCATTCATACTGAAAAAGACACATATTTATATATCAACTTTCAAAAGTCTTTTACCACAAACTTATGATCATATGGAAATAAACTCCATGTATAATAACAAAACATGTGATTGTTAAATTAACTGAATCTTTCAAAATGTATGAAAAAATTATATAATTTTGCATTGTTAAAAGCTTTTAAAAAATTAGATGTTCCATTAAAATATGATAATGCTATTGTCTTGCACTCTGTATTACTTTTGAATATGAATTTTTATGTTTTAATGAACCATTCCTGAGGATGACTTTAAGTAATCCCCTCAATCTAGTTCTCCTTTTAAAACTTTAACAAAACAACTTGTAGGAAAAGTTGATATCATGAAGATGAATGTTATATAAAATAAAACTTCAACTTTATTTAATATGACCTTCTAGCTTGTAACGCCTATTATACCTAAATATAGTGTAATCTGTAATATGAGCAACTGCACTTTTAAGTCTGCAGTTTGTCATGCATGACTTCCATACAAAGACAAACCAGTGATTTATTTATTAGTAAAATTGACATTTAAATCATTAACTTGCATGATAAAATCATATCTTGTTATAATAGTAAAGTGTTTTAATTGCATACTAATAATATCTTTTTCAGAAATTTGTAAAATCGATGGAAATTACATTATGTCCAATTGAACGCACAGAAACATTGAAAAGAGATTTACTAAGTTAAATAATAAGGACAATGAATGCATTGTAGATTTTTTGTAAAACGCCCTTGACGTTTAAGTGGGTTTTTTTGTTTGAAAGAAATGTCTTTTTTTTTTTAGACTTGTTATCCGAACTTCCCATATTCTTTTATATTGTTATTTATCAACAAATTAGATAATTGTTGTGTTTTTTGTGACAAAATGAACTTTGGAGTTATTTTGTATAAAATGAGCTTTGCAGTAAATTTCTTTAAAAAAAAATTTGACACAAAAATCTGCTGTGTCTGAGTTAAAATAATAATAGAAATGTAACAGATACACAGAAAGCGTGTTAAAATAATGATTATAATAATAATAATGGCATAAACTTAAATCCAATATCTTGTATTACAGGATTATGGTACAAGTGTACACATTTTGTACATGTAGTAATATTGTATAGACACCTGTCTATTGTTGACCTCTTGATGTCTTACAGTTATTTGTGTTTTGTTGCGGTCTCATTGACATATACCTCATATCTCCTTTTATGTGTACAATAAAAACATTTTTAGATAATACTACATACAACAATTTTAGATAATACTACATGTACATACAATAATTTTAGATAGTACTACATACAACACATGGAGTCATTTAATTTCATGGATAACAATTATCGTGTATATTTGATTTCGTGGTTTTGCCAAATTCTGCATTCAAGCATTATGAAAATGTGCATTTCGTTGAACATTTAAATTTGTGGTTTAACTATACCCACAAATTCATGGAAATAACTAATAATAATGAATGTATATAATTGTTCAAATGAGTAAAAAGAAAACAAAAATCACAAGTTACTCCCACTTTTTAAAAACTTGTTTTCATTAATAAAAGAACAACATCCTATGGTACTAAATGAGAAGACCAGATCTTGTATGTCACCAAATAGAGTTATGTTGCTACATTGTTTGTTGTGTACTGTTGTCTGTCTTTTCTTCGTTTTTCATTTTTTGCCATTGCACTGTCAGTTTGTTTTCGACTTATGAGTTTGAATATCCCTTTGTTATCTTTCGTCTCACTTTTACCTATTGCTTTTATAGTATTTGAAAATAAATGTGGAATGTGTCCATGGGACACAGATGATGCCCCCGCTTGCATATAATGTTATAAAGGGACATCACTCAAGATCGGTACAAGTGATGCCACCAAAATTCAAACGTGATCTGTGTTTTGTAGTAATAAGAATTGGGCATAAGTTTCATAACATTTGGTTGAGGCAAACTAAAGTTAGAGAACGGAAACGAAAAATTCAGCAATTTTTCCATTTGTAAAGGGGCAATGCCGCATTACTCTTTAACGGGTACAAGTGACGCCACCAAAATTCAAATTTGATCTGCGTTTTGTGGTAATAAGCATTGTGTATAATTGTCATAACATTTGGTTGAGGCAAACTAAAGTTAGAGAATGGAAACCAATTTTGGGACGTACGGATGGATGTACAGACGGACAAGGGTAAAACTTAATGCCCCCTCCACTATGATGGGGGCATAAAAACAGACCTAACCATGACAAATTAACTTTGCTAACTGATCCATGAAATGAGTTGGTCAGGTGGACCCTGTCTGACAGACATACATACCAAATATGTTTATCCTATTACCCATATAATAAGTGTGAAAATTACACCAGAAAAAACACTATTTCTTGTGAAATAGTCCTTTTCTTACAGATTTGATGTAATTCAAACTAATGAAAACACAAAATTTAATAGTTACTCTCAAACTGGTAAAAAAAAAATTGTCTCTATGGAAGTTTAAAAAAAGTGAGATTCAGCCTTATATAAACATGAATAAGCATATTAAAATTTCTTACCTGCTTAAATTATCAATCAACAATGAATAAAGGTCAGTCAATCAATACTATGAGGAGACATCAATCAATGTTTCACTACTTAACTTTACTTAACTGAGACAATCAACTAATACATTAGCATGATTAGTGCACATGTTACTTGTACATTAATCCAACATCCTCATATTAATGTTCAATTATTGGATATACAGCAAATTTGAGATGAGCAAAAAGCTTTCAGACTATACATTTTGATATATTTTGTTAAGGATAAATTAATAAACTGAAAGGCACTTTGAATAAATAAAGGAAAAGGGTAATATGTGATAGATCAGACAACTTTCCCAAAATATAAAATAACAATAAATTGCTGTTCTTAATCTTTAAAATTATTAGCTATAGTTGTGCAAGGCTATACTTGTAAGGAACTAACACCTTTCTGGATGGCACCTTATTATGGCATACAAGTTTGTTGGTCTGGTGTACACCTCAATATATTAACTTATGTCATTTATCCTTCATTCTGGTAGATTGAACAGATATAAAGTTGTGCGTATTGCTGTGTGTTTGTTTATTTCACATTGGCTAGAGGTATAGGGGGAGGGGTTGAGATCTCACAAAACATGTTTAACCCCGCCACATTTTTGCATCTGTCCCAAGTCAGGAACCTCTGGCCTTTGTTTAGTCTTTGATTTTAGTTCATTTATATGTTTTTGAGTTAAGTGTGACGTCCATTTTCGCTGAACTAGTATACATTATTGTTTAGGGTCCAGCTGAATCCCGCCTCTGGGTGCGGAATTTTCTCGCTGTGTTGAAGACCCATTGTTGGCTTTGGGCTGTTTTCTGCTATCTGGTCGGGTTGATGTCTCTTTGATGCATTCCCGGTTTCCATTCTCTATTTTATTTAATATGCAAAAAATTTGAAGGAATCCATGCTTGTTTTCATATACATTGTAGGGTGCACTTGCAACATAGTTTCTTATTTACAAATTCATAAAGGATACACTGAAAAATCAGATTTATCAGCCAAATTAAATCATAAACTTGATCTGATTACACACCACAAATAAAGCATTTTCCTGCTAAATTTAGTTAAATTTTGTTATCATATGAAGTTTCAAAGAAGATAAAATTTATGTTCAACTGCAAACAATGGCAATAGTGAACATTGCCCAAATGGCCAGGTGAGTAAAATATCAATGTAGATAATTTACGCTTTTCACTGTAGACAGTCTTGACAGTCTTGACAGCACATTTGGATATGCATAAGGAAAACTTTCTTGTAATTCATTTCATGATCAAAACAATTTATGTGCATACAATTCTAAATAGCATGCTAAAAAAAAGTACAGGACAGGGCATGCTTTGTTAGTGAAGTTTTAACTGATAACTTTTACAATTGACTTAGAAGAAGATGGTCAAAATCCTTAAGTAGAAAGTTATTTAGCCAGGCTTTTGCTAACAGGTAACTGTATAGTTATTTTTGATTTCCAATATTCTAAAATTGTTGTTGAAAGTTTTTTACTTTAAATGATGTCTACATGCCTATTAAAGTGTAATTTACTGAGGCATTCATCTTCCAAGATTATTATTTTCATCCTTATATAATGCATTATGTCTTTTTAGACAGCCATTCACAACCAAAATAACAACTTTTGTATAAGCCTGATATTGGAAATAATATATAAGCTGGATACTATAAAAATGTCAAACGAAAAAGATATTGATTTTTCTTTTGATAACCTTTTATAATTAGTAGATGTCTTATGATTGCCAAAGAGACAACTATTCAATAGAGTCCTTTAAGCAATTATATGTTACCGTACAGCCTTCATCATTCAATGAGAAAAACACATACTGTATATAGTCAGCTATAAAAGACCCTAACATGAGAAAATGTGAAACCATTCGAAAAACTAGAGGCTCTCAAGAGCCTGTGTCGCTCACCTGTATTTACTGATGCTTTGGAAATCATGTAAAATAAGGTTAAAATCATAATTAATAGTATAAGATATTAGATATTATAACGATATCTAAGATAATAACAAACAAGAGTGTACACGCTGAAATGTCTCGCCTTCTTTACTAATCACTGATATTATGTTGATAGTCCTAAATATAAAGCTTTATTACAAATGTCACATAAACTTAACATTAACCAAGAAAACTAAACATTGACCAATGAACCATGAAAATGAGGTCAAGGTCAGATGAACCATGCCAGGCAGGCATGTACAGCTAACAATTCTTCCATACAACAAATATAGTTGACCTATTGCTTATAGTTTAAGAAAAGCAGACCAAAACACAAAAACTTAACACTGAGCAATGAACTGTGAAAATGAGGTCAAGGTCAAATAAAACCTGCGCGACTGACATATAGATCATAAAATATTTCCATACACCAAATATAGTTGACCTATTGCATATAGTATTAGAAAAAAGACCAAAACTCAAAATCTTAACTTTGACCACTGAACCATGAATATGAGGTCAAGGTCAAATGACACCTGCCAGCTAGACATGTACACCTTACAATCATTCCATACACCAAATATAGTTGACCTATTGCTTATAGTATTAGAAAAACAGACCAAAACACAAAAACTTAACATTGACCAATGAACCATGAAAATAGGTCAAGGACAAATGACACCTGCCAGACAGACATGTACACCTTACAATCATTCTATACACCAAATATAGTTGACCAATGGCTTATAGTATTAGAAAAACAGACCAAAACACAAAAACTTAACATTGACCAATGAACCGTGAAAATGAGGTCAAGGTCAGATGAAACCTGCCAGACTGACATGTATCCCTTATAATCATTCCATACACCACATATAGCTGACCTACTGCTTGTAGTATCTGAGAAACGGACCTAATCACGTAACTTTAACCTTGATCACTGATCCATGAAATGAGGCTGAGGTCAGGTGAACCCTGTCTGATGGACATGTAGACGTTGCAAGGAACCCATATACCAAATATAGTTATCCTATTACTCATAATAAGTGAGAAATTTACATAACAAAAAAACTAAACTTTTTTTTCAAGCAGTCGCTGAACCATAAAAAAAGGTTAAGGACATTGGACATATGACAGACGGAAAATTCGTAACATAAGGTATCTGCATACAAAGTATGAAGCATCCAGGTCTTCTACCTTCTGAAATATAAAGCTTTATACAAATAGTTTACGCCGCCGTCGCCGCCGCCGGATAGTAATACCTATGTCTCACTTTCTGCGACTTTCATCGCAGGCGAGACAAAAACTGCAAAATTTTTGTAAAATTACTAACTCAGGGGCAGCAACCCAACAACGGGTTGTCGGATTCGTCTGAAAATTTCAGCGCAGATAAATCTAAATCTGATGAACTTTTTGCCACCTGTCAGATTTGCTCTAAATGCTTTAGTTTCAGAGATATAAACCTATGTTCTATTTTTAACCAAGTCCGCCATGATGGTTGGAAGGCGGGACATCGAACAAATTTTTTAAACTAGATACCCTAATAATGATTATGGCCAAGTATGGTTAAATTTGTCTCAGTAGTTTCAGAGAAGAAGATTTTTGTAAAAGATTACAAAAATTTACGAAAAATTGTTAAAAATTAACTATTAAGGGCAATAACTCCAAAAGGGGTCGACTGAAAATTTTGGTCATGACAACTTATTTGTAGATCTTACTTTGCTGAACATTATTGCTGTTTACAGTTTATCTCTATCTATAATAATATTCAAGATAATAACCAAAAACTGCAAAATTTCCTTAAAATTACCAATTCAGGGGCAGCAACCCAACAACAGGTTGTCAGATTTGTCTGAAAATTTCAGGGCAGATAGATCTTGACCTGATAATCAGTTTTACCCTATGTCAGATTTACTCTAAATGCTTTGGTTTCAGAGATATAAGCCAAAATCTACATTTTACCCCTATGTTCTATTTTTAGCCATGGTGGCCATCTTGGTTGGTTGGCAGGGTCATCGGACACATTTTTTAAACTAGATACCCTAATGATGGTTGTGGCCAAGTTTGGTTAAATTTGGCCCAGTGGTTTCAGAGGAGAAGATTTTTGTAAAAAGCTAACGACGACGACGACAACGACGGACGCCAAGTGATGAGAAAAGCTCACTTGGCCCTATGGGCCAGGTGAGCTAAAAACCAAACAATGGGTCTGATTTATTACAAAACAATAAACAATAAATTGCTTTGACAAGCGCAGCTGGATACAACCGCAGAGGTCCAACCCTATACAGTTGGGGCAAAAATGGACACAATATTCGCACTTGATATCAACAGGTCTGAATTTGGATTGTAATTAAATATTTGACACATAATAGGTTTCTGACACAGAATAACTGTAGTCAAAGAACTTAGAATTGGTTCTATGATTTGAATTTATATTCAATTTCTTGCTTTTGTGCAATACACTGTGCTGTTGTGCAATACTTTGTAAATCTGTTTTCAGACAATATACAAAGAATTAGCAATTGTGACACACAAGTTTTCTTTGTTTTCTTTGGAAAATCTTGAAGAAAAAAGAAAAATTGACCCCCCCCCCAAAAAAAATTATTTTGTTACCCCCCCCCCCCCCCCCCCTTTCTTTTGTCTAAAAAAAAATATTTGAAGAAATTTTCTTTCTAATTTCTGAAATCTTGATAAAAAATTGTCCCCATCCCCCTCCAATTCCCCCCTCAAATTTTTTTTTTTACCTCCCCCCCCCCCCCTTTTTCCAAAGAGAAATTCTTTCCCTCAAGATATGGTCATAATCTCAATTCAAATTTCCAATGGAGTTTGCAACCATAAAAACCCATTTAAGTACATCATAAAAGTATTGAAATAGAAAATGACATACATAATCATGGCTAAAATTAATATACCTTCATCAGCATTTAACAGTAACTTCTAAAAATAAATTGACAGCTAATCACCTCAAGACAATACAACATTTCTTTATAACAAAACCATTGTAAGGGAGGTAACTCTTAATGCTAAAAAAAAACTAAACAAATGATATTGATCACAAATAAACAATTCTGAATATGAAAATTAAAATTTATTACCACTGAACCCTTTGATATACACTATTATTATATTAATAAAAAATATAAATAAGTCTATATACTTCCATCACAGTATTTGATGTTTCTAGAAACAGCTAAAAATAATTCATACTAGAACTAGCTGACAACTTTACATAATTTAAAAGCAATGTAAGGAAATTAAAGTAATTCAAATATAAAATTTGTAATTATTATCTTTTAAATTTTATTTAATGTTTATTAAATCAAACAAAACAAATCTTATAGCCTTAGGACCAAAATTTGGACCAATTAGAAAATGGACCCAACAACCAAATACACAGTTAGATTCAGCATATGAAAAAAATTGTAATACTAATAGCATGAAAAATTGTAATACTTATAGCAAAAAATCCCAAAATATTGTTCTCGTCTATATACTGTTAAATATCATGAATCAATCGAATGCTATCCCTTATATAATGCTTAATGGTCCAATATCTATTTCATACAGATCCAAAGACCAATACTTAAGTAATTGTCCATTAACCAGGAAACCCTTGTTTCCCCCCCCCCCTTTTTTGCCCCTAATTCCTAAACGGTTTGAGCCATAACCCCCCAAAGCCAATCCTAACCATCCCTTTGTGGTATGGAAACTTGTGGTATAATTTCAGAGAGATCCATACACTGTTCCACAAGTTATTGTCTGGAAACTAGAAAAATGCTTATTTGGGCCCCCTTTTGGCCCCTAATTCCTAAACTGTTGGGACCATAACCCCAAAAATCAATCCCAACCTTCCTTTTTGGTTTTAATTAAACCTTGTGTTTAAATTTCATAGATTTCTATTTACTTATACTAAAGTTATTGTCTGGAAACCAAATGTCTTCGGACGAAGCTGACGCCGACTTGATACCAATATACGACCGCAAATTGTTTTCCCGGCCCAGATCGATCAGTACAAAAGAAGTGTAAAGACCTCATAAACAATCTGGGAAATGCATGACCTTGTGCAATGCCAAAATATAAGTACATAAGTATTAACAAAAATACCGAACTCCAAGGTAAATTCAAAAAGCTTGAAAATTGCTTGTTTTTTGGCCCCTTTTTGGCTTCAAATTGCTAAACATTTAGGGCAATTACCCCCAAACTCAAACCCAGCTTTCCCTTTGTGATATGGAACCTTGTAGTACAATTTCATAAAGATCCATACACTTTCACACAAGTTATTGTCCTGAAACTAGAAAAATGCTTGTTTTTTTCCCCTTTTTGGCCCCTAATTCCTAAAGTTTTGAGGCAATTACCCCCAAAATCAATCCCAGCCTTCCCTTTGTGGTATGGTACCTTGCAGTACAATTTCAGAGAGATCCATATACTTGAACACAAGTTATTGTCTGGAAACTAGAAAAATGCTTATTTTTGGCCTCTTTTTGGCCCCTTATTTCTAAACGTTTTGGGCAATTACCCCCAAACTCAATTCCAGCTTTCCCTTTGTGATATGGAACCTTGTAGTACAATTTCAGAAAGATCCATACACTTACACACAAGTTATTGTCATGAAACTAGAAAAATGCTTGTTTTTTGCCCCTTTTTGGCCCCTAATTCCTAAAATTTTGAGGCAATTACCCACAAAATCAATCCCAGTCTTCCCTTTGTGATATGGAACCTTGTGGTACAATGTCAGGGAGATCCATACACTAACACACAAGTTATGTCTGGAAGTTACAAAAATGCTTTTTTTTGGCCCCTAATTCCTTAACTGTTGGTACCATAACCCCCAAAATCAATCCCAACCTTCCTTTTGTGGTACTGAACTTTATGGTAAAATTTCATAGAGATCCATTCACTTAAACTAAAGTTAGAGTGTGAAAACTAATATGTCTTCGGAAGACAATGACGACGTTAATGTCATACCAATATACGACCGCAAAATTTTTTGTTGGTCGGCAGACGGGGTCATCAAACACATTTTTAAACTAGATACCCAAATGATGATTGTGGCCAAGTTTGGTTCTAATTGGCCCACTAGTTTCAGAGAAGATTTTTGTAAAAATTAACGGATGCTGACTGACAACGTACACCAAGTGATGAGAAAAGCTAATTAGGCCCTTTGGGCCAGGTGAGCTAAAAAGTCTGTATAACTCTTATTTTCACAAAATTTTCAACATCCAAAGCCTGTAATTTCTGCAAAAATCAGCAGAGTCAGAGTGGAACCAAACATAAACTCGATCTGTAACTCACCATAGTAGACTCACATACAAAAATCAGCTCAATATCTGAAGGCATTTAGAAAAAAAGTTAGTATAACTGTTATTTTAACAAAATTTTCAAAGTCCAGAGCCAGTAATTTAGGCAAAAATCAATGGAGCAGAACCAAACAAAACCCCACCACATTTTGTTTGAGTACCAAGTCAAGGTATCTGGACCATGTGTTGTATGTTGTTGTTTGTTTTTATTTGTACATTTATTTTCTCAGAAGAGCCAGGCTTTGCTAGTTGTTGTAATGTGGGTTTTTATTCTGTCAAATATCCCTGTTAATTCACCTATTAGATTAGAAACCCGACATTGTCAATATATTCTACAATATACATATTTTTGTTACCTGGTACTTTTATTTCAGTAGATAAAATGTGCTACATGTAAATTTGTGTCAATGTCAGAATGTCACTAAATTTACATAAAAGTTTCTTTGAAATTGCAATTAGATATTCTTATCATTGCTTATCGAATCATGATCAGAGTTTAAAAGTTTTAAGTTTACATTTTGTCTTATGCTTGTAGTTCCTGTATAAAACATGTATATATAAATATATATACATTTAAAATGTCACACAAAACATCAGCATCCTGGTCATTAGGAACAATTGGTTTCTTCCAATTTCACATGGATCAAATCAAATATCTGCAATATTAATGACTTCCTCCATTTTTTAAAAATTTAAGAGTACATTTTTTTTTCAGTAACACTGATTTCCTAAATTTTCAATCTGGATATAATACATAGTGCATTGTACATGACTTTTGGTCCCAGCTTCAATCGTGAGATACCAATTGCATTACTGATACAGTCCATCATAAAAATTTTGACATGGGTAAAATAGTGGTGCCAAAAATATAGCTAACAGTTTTATGAAGCCTGATGAAATTAAAAATTGCAGTCAGTAGGATCCCTGGTTTTAATGTACAAATGTAACAAGATCAGACCTGTTATACTAAATTATGTAAGTCAAAAGTTTGGTAAAATGTTTGATTAAAATTTGCATAATATAAATAGAGGAGTTGAATTAAAACTCCACCTTTGTCTTTAATAGACGACTTTCAAATTCATGCATTTTCCTGTACATTTCCTACATGTATGTCACAATGCTATTGTTAGAACTGATTTTTCAAGGACGCCATTCACGCTGATTGACCTTGTGGTTTTCTAAAAGAAACTCCAATACGATTGATTGGTGTTTAATGCCACTTTCAGCACTATTGTGCTGTTTCGTGGCAGTCAGTTTCTACTAGTGGAGGAAGCCAGAGTGCCCGGAGAGAACCACTGACCTTTGGTAGGAAAACTGACAAGCCTAGTCAATTAAGATTGGAGTTGAGCGAACCTGCCACTCGCGGGATTCGAACTCACAACCTCAGTGTTGACAGGCTAGTGATACAGTATTTCGACTACTTAGACCCCTTGGCCACCGAGGCCCCAAACTCTAATACGAAAAATGAGGCACTTTAGAAGAGCACCCCTCCTTCAAGAATGGTACTGCTACCAAAGTCCTGTATAAGCTGGTGTGACTTCTTGCTTCTGGTCATTTGTCATACATGTAAGTCTGCAAATACATAAGACCAAGTTACGGTTCGTGGATATTTGAGATCATAGTCTCTTATATACTTTTACATAAAAGTGTTAAAAGGTACAAGCTGGTGTCTGATAGGAAATTACTGACTTGTATCAGTTGTAGCTTTACGAGGTTGTACCGTATTGGACTATTGTTACAGCTTGTAGGGTACATAATTGTACCATAAGGACAAGTTTGTTCCTGACAGAGGATAAATTTTTAATTGTACAAATTTGCACCAGTCGTATATACATTTGAAGTAGAATAGATAGAGATAATTTGTTTTAGAACGTAAAGAGCAGTGGTACATGTACATGTATATACATGTAATTTAGTTCATTGGTATCATTTTATGTTAACTTCTTGGATAATCTTAATATTTGTAAATAGAACATTTCAAATCCAGTATCAAACTGGTAACAGCCCTTTTACATATTTAAAAAAAATAAAACAGACATGCTGACCTGGTGCACACGTTGAGGTATATGGTAACAATGCACAAACTTTCAGCAAATTGAGAAAAATAATAATATACTTACTTAATAAAGTATAGCAGTTAAAATAAGGGTGCAAAATGAGTATAACCAAATTTCTTTTGAATTCTTTCTGTATTATTCATAGATATGGGATGTATATGTATCTGAAAATTTATTTCCGTGCATGTAAATTTAGTGGCAAACCAGGCTACATCCATGTCTGTGATTGTGAAGCACTGAAGGGATGCCTTTAGAAAGTTTGGAACATTTTAATCTTTACAAAAATTGGTAAACTATCGTTTTGCATAAACATGTTAAATTGAAACCGTTAAATTAAGTCAAGATTTTCAAGTGTCAGATTAACCCCTTGTTTGAATTTTTAGAACAAGGTAAAGGCATTTTCATGTGGTTTTGGTACAAGTACAATTGCATTTCTGGACTAGGCTCTTTGATCAGAAGGGCGGGAATTGAGGTCATGGAACCTCTGATACCAGTTAAAAGTCAAACAGGAGTATCAAATTCAATGTAACATTATTATGGTTTACTGATCGTTGGCTTGAGCCTCGACTCTGAAATCGACATCGATACTCAAAATGCTGGTGCTGCGGGAATGTTTCATAAATTTGTCTCGATTAACTGATGCAAACTGGGTCATTTACTTCCCAATAGTACATGACATTGACTATAACAAACTAGATTTACCTTAGTTTTTTACCTGTTTTTTTTTTGACAAAAACAATGTTTTCTGAACTTTGGAAACTTGGAAAAAAATATAAATTGCCGTTTCTTTAAACGTAAATAAGATATAGATTTTTCAAGAAATCTCTAACATAAGAGTATTTGAGTAAAATGTAAAAATCGTTAAATATGTAAGGAATAAAGAATTTAAACATTTAAAACTCATTTGATATTTTTCATGATACATATTAAAGATAATATTATATTATCTTTTAAAATGTATTATGAGTGAGTTGTTTTGGTTTAGAGATTTTTAAAGGGTGGCTGGCGGTAAAATTCGTAAATTTGTTCAGAGAGCCACTTGCAACAATTACAATGTATTGGTTATTATAATAAGTCAAATAAAACAAACAATTTCAAGAAATGCACACATTTAAATTTTATTGAAACAAAAAATGAGACAAAACTATAAATAGGTTTAATACCTGGGATCTCCTGTAGTTGGTACCAGTACAGAAACAACTCACTCATAATACATATATTATTTTTATTATAACATGCACGGTCACATTCTTGAGTCAGTTGAAAATGCAAAATATTTAGGTATAGCTATATCATCAAATTTAAAATGGAACAAACACATTCAGAACATGACATCAAAAGCAAATAAGACTCTTGGATTCATCAGAAGAAATTTAAAAATAAACTCAGTAACCATCAAAGACCGAGCATACCAAGCCCTTATTAGACCAAAACTTGAATACTGCTGCACTGTCTGGGACCCTTACACAACAGAGAACATTAACTCCATAGAAAAAGTCCAAAGACGTGCAGCGAGATATGTATGCTCCAACTACAAATATACTGAAACTGTGAAAGTGTAACAAACATGATAAACACACTTCACTGGCCAACATTACAAGAAAGGAGACTCAAAAGCAGATTAAATATGTTCCATAGAATAACAAACAACAAAATTGCCATACCACATACTGACATACTAATTAAAAGCAAATCAAACACCGGTCTAGCCACGAACAAACATACCGACAAATTCGATGCAGCAAAGACAGTTACAAATTTTCATTTTTCTGCCAAACTATAAAAGACTGGAACAAATTACCTGAACCAATAGCCTGCAGCACCACTACTGAGTGCTTTAAGGAGAAACTCACTAGAGAGATGCTCCTTGACACTTACAAACACCTACATGTTTAATATGTATTTTGTTTTTATCTTATACCAAAATTAAAAATAAAAATTGAAAAATATTACTTACATACACGTATATATAAAAAATTGAAAAATTATTATGAAATCAAAAATATATTTTTAATCATTAACAATATTGTTAAACCAGGCATGCGCCAGAAAGTAATCATCAACCAGTTGTCGTTTTTCTGTATATAAAGAAGAGTACGTATTGTATTCCAGTATTGTACCAGTATTTTTTTTTTTTTTTAAATAAACAATACATATATGATATAGTAATTAATCTTTTATTAAAGGTGTCACATAATGCAATTAACATATTTGACATGACAATTTTATAAGACATTTGAATGATTGGACATATAGATAGTCGAGCACTAAATGATAATAATAAACATAAGGATAATAAATACTGATATGAAATGTACCTTTTTAGCACTAATTATAAAATGAAAGCATGATGTGTAACAAATGATAAAATTACATGCTTAAATGATGGTACACTGCATTTTTCATCAAAGGGAACTATACCGTATACTGTCCCAGCAATTCAACAAACTCTTTATTTTCCTCTACCTTATCTTTCAGGGCTTTCTTTCCAAGGCTCATGGTATATTTTAGTGATTTGTTGATTGACATTATAGCTCCTGTATCATCAGCATTGGTATTGTCTATTTCTTCTTCAGATGGCATCTCTGGAACCCTCCTCTTTCTGTATTGGTTTTCAGTCTCTGTGGACTTTCTCTTACGCTTTACAACATGACTAGCTTCTTCAAATGGCACTTGTACGGCTCTCTAACTGTTGTAGGTGTTGGAGTGCTGACGCCATAGGATGGTGGCAACATCTTTTGCTCTTGTAGTACTAGTGATTGTACCAGTTGATATATCTGCTACGTATTGTGTGGCCCATGGTTCTGAATCATCTGCTTCTCCCTTAGCCATACATAACGCCAATTTCTTGTTCCTTGAGACCTCATTTTTCTCTATATTTTCTTTGTAAATAGATTCTGTGATTGGGGTTAAAGGTCTTGTTGTGAACCATATGTTTGCCTGATCAATTCAGTTGACCAGTTCTTGTAGTAGTTGCTGTTGTGTCTGATAACTTTTTTGCTTAGGAAAGTCCGGGAATAGAAGAGAAATACCAGCCATATCAAAATCTTAGTTAAAGAAGATAGCATGCATATTATATTCTTATACAATTATTTTATATAATTAACAATTGTTTGAATAATATGAGTTAATTACAATAATATTTTGTTTATTTGTATCTGTTTGATTTTAATTAGGGCTAATGAGTATCATGTTTATTTTAACTAGTTGTTGATTTATTTAATAATTCAATTATCTTCTATTATCGTTTTGAGTTCATTTAACACCCTTTTGAACTTCGATATCCAATTTTACTAAAAAATACACAAGATATTGTCTACAATACAACTACAATACTGGTATATCAGTAATGTACCAGTATTGCGATCACCAACTACAAGAGATCCAATACCTGTTAACCTTCTCGACATGCATTAACAAAATGTAATTTAATTAACCCACCCTATTCCTTCAATACATAAATGACCTTCAGATTACACAGTCAACAAATCGTCAGACTATTTGCCGATGACTGCGCCCTGTACAGGGAAATAAAAAACAGCACAGACGCAGACCTTTTAGATTTTACGTTTCTGAGTTATGGGATTTTATTTCAAAAAAAAAAGGGGGGATTTTCCCGTTCTCGGACAATAACTCAAAAATGCTTTGAGCAGTTTTCATGAAACTTTGGTGTCTGGTTTGTATCTATTATATAATAAGCTCCCTTTAGTTTTTTATAAATTTCTGATATGACATTGAGGAGTTCTTGAACCTTATTCGATTGAAAAAGCGACAGGGGGTATCATGCACTCATGGCGCAGCTCTTTATTAATATTGGTGTACGTGTAACTACTGTTTCCTTTTTAGCTCACTTGGCATCCATGGTCGTCGTCCGTCCAGTTTAAACTATTTTAAACATCTTCTCCTCTGACACTACTGAACCAATTCCAACCAAACTTAAGCTGAATGATCCTTAGGGTATCAAGCATAAAGTTTGTGTTTTATTTTCTGTTTCGTCAAAAAATATGGCCGCCATGGCTAAAAATAGAACATAGGGGTAAAATGCAGTTTTTGGCTTATATCTCAAAAACTAAAGCATTTAGAGCAAATCTAACATGGAATAAAATGTTCATTAGGTCAAGTTCTATCAGCCCTGAAATTTTCAGATGAATCTAACAACCCATTTTTGGTTTGCTGCCACTAAATTGGTAATTTTAAGGAAATTTTGCAGTTTTTGGTTATTATCTTGAATATTATTATAGATAAAGATAAACTGTAAACAGCAAAAATGTTCAGCAAAGTAAGATCTACAAATAAGTTTCATATGACCAAAATTGTCAGTTGACCCCTTATGGAGTTATTGCCCTTTAAGGACAATTTTACACAATTTGTTTATCATGTTTTCTAACTTTAAAAAATCTCCTCTGAAACTACTGAACCAAATTAAACCAAACTTAAGCTGAATGATTCTTAGGTTATCTAGAATAAAGCTTGTGCTTTATTTTCTGTTTCCTCAGAAAACATGGCTGTCATGGCTAAAAATAGAACATAGGGTAAAATGCAGTTTTTGACTTATATCTCAAAAATCTAAAGCATTTAGAGCAACTCAGACAAGAAGTTAAAGTATTCATTAGGCCAAGGTCTACCTGCCCTGAAATTATCAGCCAAATCGGGTATCTGATTTTTAGGTTATTGCCCCTGAATTGATGATTATAAGGAAATTTTGCAGTTTTCGGTTATTATCATGAATATTATAATAGATAAAGATAAACTGTAAACAGCAAAAATGTTCAGCAAAGTAAGATCTACAAATAAGATTCATATGACCAAAATTGTCAATTGACCCCTTAAGGAGTTATTGCCTTTTAAAGACAATTTTTCACAATTTGTGTATCTAGTTTGCTTACTTTAAAAAATCTTCTCCTTTGAAACTGCTGAATCAATTTCAGCTAAACTTGGGCTGAATGAGTTTCAGAGTATCTAGTATAAATTTTATATTTTATTTCCTTGTATGTCAAGAAACATAGCCACTATGGCTAAAATGGAACATAGGGGTAACATGCATTTTTTGCATTTGAAGAAAATATGACAGATACAAAGAACATTTAAATGAAAAATTTAAGCAAAAAATTACAGGTGAGCGATTCAGGCTCATGAGAGCCTCTTGTTTAATATTGGTGTTGTTTTGTATACTTTTTTAGGCATATATATTATTTTTCTATTAGGTACATTATCATTTTGTCATTCCAAAGGATCCAACGCCCTCGTTTGAAATTCATTGACAATTATCTAGATGTTTTATATATATATATATATGTTCCATCTTGTTATGGGAGAGGATGAACATAGGCTTTGCTTGTTGTCCAATTGCCTTTGATAATCATAATTACTATCAATAAAATATTTGAAACTAAGGCCACACCAATTTGATTAATAGTTCTTTGGAATTTCCCGCTCCTGTTTTGGAGAAATTGACTTTTCAATAAATAAAAAAAATTACCGCTTCCGAAAATTTTTGGGCCGCATGCCGCTCCAAATTTTGTTTCTCCTTGAAATTTTTTTTTCACATAGACGTTTTTCTTGTGCATATATTGCTCTGTTCGATTCAAATGCACGTGTGATAAATCGAATTGTAAATAAAAGGTCAAAAATCGGGATGCCAACATGTAGTTGTGTCAGCTCATTGTCGTAGACAAGTAGTTACTGAACACACATCCGAAATGCATCTTGTTTTATCTATGAAGACCTGTTCTAGGAGACAAATATTAAAAATCTGTCTTTAGATGACCACGATCACATCAATGTTCGTTAGAACCATCGTCATCCCGGATTATTGTTTCAACAGACATAGACCTGAATCTGAATAAGTACGTTGCAGGGCCAGGATAGGCATCAATGGCAACGCCAACGGAAGAGAGGCGCTGGAAAATTAGTCCAACGATGTGAGAGCAACCGAAGTTTTAAAGCTCTCAATTGTATTGGTACACACGAGATTGTTTGGTAGTCTATTCCAATAAAAAAATGTTTTTACAAAGAATGACGGTTTATATTGTTCAGATTTGCTATGTGGAATTTTGAAACACTGGCTGCTGTTTTGTACAAATTTATCTACAATGTTTGTTGTTTTATAGACCTATCTATCTTGGATGAAATTAATATTAAATTCCCTTGAATTTTAAAAAAGTCACAGATTTATCTTATTTTGATGAAAGTCCATATCCCCTTGTTAGTCTATTGGCATACAAGCAGAAATCTTTTGTAAGGGAAAATTTAAGAGTTCCAACGTTTGAGACCAAAGTGGTGGTATTGTGATTGGCATGCTCATATAACAATTAGGGATGTGTAATTGGTTCAACCACTTCTAGTCAAGCTAAAGAGTTTAAAATGCATTGCAGCTTTTAGGAGCAAAAGGAAAGAGTATTTTGCTGTCAGAATAATGCATGTGAATGTTGTGACAAGTATTTTAAGGGAATATTTTAATACATTGAGATCTACATGCATAGCAATATAAATATCTATAAAGTGGACATCAAGCAGCCAATAAACAATCATTACCATATATAGATATAATGAAAACAACTATATCAAAAAATATTTAATATTTTGCAGGGGCATTTTTTTTTGGTACATACATGTACACATATTTAAATTTTATTCAACATATGTCATTTACCTAACTAACATAATTCCACAGGCACTTGTTTCAGAATTTTTTCCCCCTATATACCTTAATAAGGTGTTATATTAAGGTATATAGGAAATTTTTTTTCTGAGACAAGTGCCTGTGCATAGTTCCTCTTGTTAAACTGCATCTGCTATGCTTCCTTAATATGTACACATGTATGAATTTTAATGAAAATTCATGCAGACAAAGCTTATTTGACGAAAATAATTATAAATTAACTAAACCCCAGCGAGACAAGAAAGTTGGGTATGGTTCATGCGCCAATCCATCAAATAATATGCATTAGAGCATGTTTCTTCTCCTTTTTCTATGAAGTAACCCAGTTTTAACATGTACATAACTTCTAAATCGCACAATTTAAAAAAAAAATTATACCACTCACTTCACCTGTAAAGCACCCGCCTCATAAAAACTCATTTTCAAGAAAAAAATACAATCAAAATAATTTCGCTCGCTCGCCCCATATTTTTTGGAGCTTTTGTCCGAAGAACTACAAATCAAATTGGTGTGGCGTAAAAAACAGCAGACAAATAATCTGATGTATAAAGAATTATGGATTGTACTGGTACTTTTGATTCCAATACAGTATAGACTATAAGCAATCTGATTACCAAAAACTTGTGCTTTTATGACTATTATACAAGGAAAAAAAGCCTGTGGGTAAAATACACACAAGAGATTTACGACCAGCGACAGATACATCTTTATTTAATAGGACACAGTAAAAGAAAAAAAAAAACAAGTTTAATGAACATCACATTTTAGCTTAATGGAAACACTTAAGAGTCATAAAACACTCTGTTTGAGTCTCTAATTACATTAATTATTTTCCAGAAGTATGACATCAACAGGAATACAAACAAGGTCAAGGAAGAGAAAAGGTAAGATAAAAGAATTATATTAATGTAATGGACCTTTGTCTGTACCCCCCTTTTCAAACAAGAATTCAGTGAAAAAACTTTTTGTAACTGCTAAAAACTAAAACTCTGGTAACTTCAAATTGTGTGTGATCGTTTGCAGTATTTTCATGGAAAAACCCGTTTTCCATCATCAAGTAGAAATTGAAAATGCTTTTTAATGATTCTAGAACACTTCACAGGTGTTAAAATAAGTCAAAATCTCCAAAAAACAATTGGGAAAGTTGTGTTTGGAAGTACATATACCTCGTCTAAATCGAAAATAAATACAGTTAGAGTGTGTGGAAAATCAGTACTTTATAGATATAACTATAGATATAAACTAAAACAGTTCCGTTCTTCAGTAAAATACTGTTAAATATAGCCATTACATGTTTGAATGATCTTTAGCTTTTGCGTCAGTATGAAACACCAACACGGAACAAATAACTGATTACATTTTGTAGTTTATACATCGTAATGCATAAGCTGGTTCTTGGCTGATTTATATACTTTTTATATGTCCGTTTACGCGTCGTATTATGGTATACAGTTGTCCGTCTGTTGTCAACATGTCGTACACTAACTCAAAAACGCTTTAACCAATTTGCATGAAACTTTGGTGAATTGTTTATATCTATTGACTTGAGCTCCCTTTCCATTTTTATAAATTTTTGATTTGACGTTTCCAAGTTATGGGGATTTATTCATTAAAAAAGGGGGACTTTCCAGTTTTCGGACAATAACTTCAAAGTGTTTTGAACAGTTTTCATTAAACTTTAGTAACTGTTTTATATCTATTCAAATAACCTCCCTTTAGTTTTTTTTATAAATTTCTGATATGACATTGAGGAGTTATGGAACTTTATTCTTTGAAAAAGTGACAGGCATATCATGTGCTCATGGCGCAGCTCTTTATTTCATTCTGGTAAATACAAGCAGATTCCAGTTTATGTTATGCAATGCTATGTAAAGAAACTTGTAATTTTTAATGAAGCATTAAATTTTGATATTTATCAGTTAATATTGGATTTTGAATTAAAATTGCATATTAATATGGATTAGGTAAATTTTTAGTTTTAAAAATAATAAGGACGCCCTCTACATTTTCAATAACAAACATGACGAAACGTAAACAAACCTCGTGAAATTGAGTTTTTCTCCTATTTCTTGCTCATCTTACTCTATAATCTGCATCCCTGCCTGGCAATTTTAATTATGAAGAAAAAAAACATGGACTATACATTGTACAAGCCCGAATTTCAGTATTTTGATTTGGAAATATATAGAAAGTTGATTTATACAGTCAGAACTGGGACACAAACAAATCAAGACTCTCACAAGTCAATGAAGATTAAGCACATGAGTTACCATTTAAACAAGTTGATAGCAGACAAACCTCATGCATAATTGTTAAAATGTGGGTCCTTTCGAAGGCCATGCAAACCAATTTATGAGTCAAGCGCCCAGATGTGAATGCAAAAATATTGCTTACAAATACTCCTTTATTGGTAAAAATTTAGAACATCAGCACAACATCAGATATGCAGATCCTCAATGATAAAGTAATATATTATATTTGCATTTAAGTTATTAACAAACTTAAAAAAAAAAAATATCTAAAACTGAAGCAATATCTTGAAAAGATAATGTTTTTCTTTTTGTACATGTGTAGCTAGCAACAGTACCAGTGATACATCTGAAGAAATCACAGATAAGTACATCAATGACATCCTGAAGAATAAACAAATTTTAGAAAATATTTGTGGACAGTCAAGTTGTACTGATGTTTCCAGTAAAGGTTCACAGTATGAAAAACTTGCAAAGCAGGTTGGTAGACAAATTCATTTTATCAATATTGCAAGAAGCAAGAGAAATAATACTTTGCCTAAAACATCACAATGAAAGTTATTTTTCATTACTAAATTCTTTTTAAAAGACAGAATAGCGATGACATTTATATAAATATATTCACTTGACTATAAAAATGTCTAAGAAAAATGAATTATATATTGGTATTGATAGATTTTTTTATATTTTTTACTCACAATGTCTTAGTAAAGGAAAACATCTTTGTTGATTAAAACACATGTAAAAAGACAAGTTTTAGTTGAACATGATGATGATCGATCAAGTCTTCTTATGTGAAATAAAATATTTGCACAACATACAATTGACCCTTATTATTTATTTGAAATCTGACATACAATCATGCACCACCTTTTGTCATATACAGAAGGAAAATTATTTCACAATTTACTTTTTTTTTCTATATGTTTTGAGTGAAATAGCCTGTTAATTTTTCAGTTTGCAAAATAAATCAAAATGTCACATAAACATATTTAAAAAAACATGTAATTTCCACATGCTTTATACTATTTTATTTCAGGTTTTGAACAGACATCTATTTATTTTACACCAGCCTCCATTGTGTTTTTATTTGACAATTTTTAATTTTCAAGAAGCTCTTACTTGCCTTTAAAACTGCATTTGCAACTATCAAATCCTCAAGTGACAGTAGTAACTTTTCAAATATAGTACATTTTAATATTTACTAAATCTGGCATAGTATGTAATAATCTTGTATCATTGATGACCTTAAAGAGCCATAAAGCTTTAAAAGGTGATACATTTTCTATGACCAAACAGATTGAGGATTACACTTGGGTTCAGTGTGATAATGTAGACTGTCAGAAATGGAGACAGATTCCTAACAGTGTAGCCAAGGAGTTAAGTGACGAGAGCCAGTGGTATTGTTACATGAACAGTAACACACCTTACAATAGCTGTAGTAAACCAGAGGAGGACTACACAGCATATGATAAACTAGCTAAAAAACTAGGCTTTAAATATGTCATGTCACAGCTTACTGAAGGAGTCCTTGTTTGGGCTAAAATGCATGGTTATTGCAGGTGAGAATATTATATGTCAAGTAGTTTTCACATTAGGGTTGTGAGAAATTTCAGTTTTTAATTGTTGGTTACATATACAAGTTTTGTTGATATTAAATTCTAGGTATAATGCATCCATTATTTTACATTGCTGACTCACACTTGACATATATGTGTCGTTTATACAGATTTTAGAGGCAGTCCTTTAACACATTACTAACCTTCATGACTGATGTTTAAGTTAGCAAAAGCTTTAAAATGTAATGGATGTATCATCAAGGCCAGCTAAGAATTTATATGGGAATCTAACAAGCAATTTCAAAAATAGTTTTGTTAACTTGTAATTTTGTTATATATTTTTACATCGCTCTCTCTCTCCATTTAGTAAATAACTCCCATAATAAATTCATTCCCATGTGTAGAATGTTTTCTTCTACACATAAGTGTGTTTAATGCAAATGGAAATGAAACCCTTGGAGTAAATCTTTCATGGAATTTATACACAAATATAGTTAATTAAAAAGTGTTTAGTCAGTTACTTCTAAAAATGTCTCTTTAATATGTAAGGCTAAAGAATGATATGATTTTTTGACATCAGTGTTGCCATGACATCATTATGACCAAGGGTCCGGAAACGGTCATATTTGCCAGTCATGTCCTAAGATGAAACTATTTGTCCTAAACGAGTAATTGGGATTTAGGACAAATTTTATTTTTTTACAGAAGTAATTTCGGTCATTTCTTTGACTCAATGTTTGAAATCGGATTTCTTAATAGACATTTTGCACTTGTGATCACTTGTTTTTGTTTATAATCCCTTTCCTGTAATAAAACTGCCACTACAGTAGTTTGATAATTCTGTGGGCCCTCCTAATATCTATATCAATGCCTCCGGGAAACATTGGCTAATGATCGCTAATCACTTTTTACCTGTGGTTTTAATTCACACCTGACAGTGATCACAAGCTCAGAATAATATCTTTAAAACATTAAAGTTCCCTGACAAGTGTTTTCATTATTTATTTACTTTCCATCAAAGACAGTCATCAATTCTGATTTAAAAGTAAATCTAAATTTACGTAGAAAAAGTATTTTTTTCATGAGTAACACATGTGCTTTATTTACTATGTAATACGCATGCGTGAAATTATCTTCAGCAAATTTAATATTTAATCGTAAAATGCAAATTGATTTCATGCTAAATTAAACGAGTGCAACTATTATCTGTTATATTCAAACACTTTTAAAGGTAATAAAATAAAAAAGCCATAAAAAGCCGGTGATTTCCTGTCAATTTGATAAACAAAACAAATCCCGGAAATGAATCCGGAATTATTCGTACTTTAAAATATCGCAAACTTCCGGTTTTAACTTTTGTCAAATCGAAAGAAACGTAAGCAATGTCTGAGAAATTAACCATTTTGAGTCATTAAAATCATTTCAATTTTAGACTGTTGCCTTCCCTAAACTGTCCTTCATGGTAATGGTAAGACATTTACTTAGTAAATGCGATAATGAAACAGCAATACAAGTTCGTCATGTTCGTTGATGCTATGAATATAGTCCAGTCGATATTGACAATTTGAGAAGGGGCACCAACTTTTCAAACACCTCAACATGACCGAAATTGTCTGGAAAAATTTCCGGATCCTTGATTATGACAGCACAATTTTTTACACAATTATTTGAGAAAGCAGTTAGTATAAAGATTTTTGTCTACATTTTAAGATATCTTTGGCAATGAACACAATTCATTTAAAAGATAGTATACATACAAAAAAAATATATTTGACTAATTTGAATTTTCTCACAAAATAGAATTTTATTCTATGCTTAATGTTTCAGAAGCAAGAACAACAAGAAATTAGGCAATTTCCTAATTAAGTTATTTGAAAATATGATGCTATGGTTGCAAATAATTATAAGAAATATTTTAAAAACCTATTTTTAGCTCAACTGATCCTTTTCTCATCACTTGGTGTCCGTCGTCCGTTGTCGTTGTTGTTAACTTTTACAAAAATCTTCTCCTCTGAAACCACTGGGACAAATTAAACCAAACTTGGCCTAAATCATCCTTAGGGTATCTGGTTTAAAAAATGTATCCGATAACCCCGCCCACCAATCAAGATGGCCGCCATGGCTAAAAATAGTACATAGGGGTAAAATGCAGTGTTTGGCTTATATCTCTGAAACTAAAGCATTTAAAGCAAATCTGACAGAGGTAAAAATGTTCATCAGGTCAAGATCTATCTGCCCTGAAAATTTTCAGACGAATTAGGTTGCTGCCCCTAAATTGGTAATTTTAAGGAAATTTTGTAGTTTTTATACGACTGCAATTTTTGCGGTCGTATATTGGTATGACGTTGGCGGCGGCGTCGTCCAAAGACACATTGGTTTTCGCACAATAACTTTAGTTTAAGTGAATGGATCTCTATGAAATTTTACCATAAGGTTCAATACCACAAAAGGAAGGGGGTTATGGTATCAACAGTTAAGGATAAAGGGGCCAAAAATAAGCATTTTTCTAGTTTCCAGACAATAACTTGTGGAACGGTGTATGGATCTCTCTGAAATTATACCAAAAGTTTCCATACCAAAAAGGGATGGTTAGGATTTGCTTTGGGGGTTTTTGGCTCAAACCGTTTAGGAATTAGGGGCAAAAAAGGGGGAAAAACAAGGGTGTACTGGTTAATGGACAAATACTTTAGTACAAAACATAATTTAAAGCAGTGTAAGGGAGGTAATTCAAATACATCATTTGAATTACCTCCCTTACACTGCTTTTAAATTATGTATAAAGTAATGGTTAGTGAACAATTAAGACAATTTAAAAGCAGTGTATGGGAGGTAATGCAAATACAATGTTTTGATTACCTCCCTTACACTGCTTTTAAATTATGTTTAAAGAAATGCATATTTATAAAGGAAGACCGGTAAAAATATCTGCATCTTTTTTTTTTAACAAAAAAAAACCATATGAAAGATTTGACACCATATTTTAAATTCTATTATAAAATAGATTAAGTTAGAACTATGGTAAATTGAAATGGGTAATTATGGTTGCAAACTCCATTGGAAATTTGAATTGAGATTATGACCATATTTTGAGGGAAAGAAATTTTTTGGGGGAAAAAGGGGGGAGGGGGGTAAAAAAGCAGTGTATTGCACAAAAGCAAAAAAAAAAAGGGGGGTTAATTTTTTTTTTTTTTTTGTGGGGGGAGGGGGGGTCAATTCGCAACAGCAAAGTGTATTGCACAAAAGCAAAAAATTGAATATAAATTCAAATCATATAACCAATTCTAAGTTCCTTGACTACAGTTATTTTGTATCAGAAACTTTTTATGTGTCAAATATTTAATTACAATCCAAATTCAGACCTGTATCAAGCGCGAACATTGCGTCCTTTTTTGCCCCAACTGTTCAGGGTTGGACCTCTGCTGTCGTATCCAGCTGCGCTCGGCGAAGCAATTTATTGGTTAATATCTTAAATATTATAATAGATAGAGATAAACTGTAAAACAGCAAAAATGTTCAGCAAAGTATAAGATCTACAAATAAGTCAACATGAACAAAATTGTCAATTGACCCCTTAAGGAGTTATTGCCCTTTAAAGTCAAATTTTCACAATTTTTCGTAAATTTTTGTAATCTTTTACAAAAATCCTCTTCTTTCAAATTACTGGGCCAAGTTAAACCAAACTTGGCCTAAACTATCCTTAGGGTATCTAGTTTAAAAAAATGATTCCGATGACCCTGCCCACCAACCAAGATAGCCGCCATGGCAAAAATTGAACATGGTGTAAAATGCAGTTTTTGGCTTATATTTCTGAAACTAAAGCATTAAGAGCAAATCTGACAGAATGAAAATGTTCATCAGGTCAAGATCTATCTGCCCTGAAATTTTCAGACAAATCAGACAACCTGAGTTGGTAATTTTAAGGAAATTTTGCAGTTTTTGGTTATTATCTTGAATATTATAATAGATAGAGATAAACTGGAAACAGCAAAAATGTTCAGCAAAGTAAGATCTACAAATAAGTCAACATGACCAAAATTGTCAATTGACCCCTTAAGGAGTTATTGTCCTTTAAAGTCAATTTTCACAATTTTTTGTAAATTTTTGTAATCATTTATAAAAATCTTCTCCTGAAATTACTTGGCCAAATGAAATTAAACTTAGCCACAATTACTATTAGAGTATCTTGATTGAAAAATGTATCTGATGACCCTGCCCTACAACCAACATGGTCCCCATTGGTATCATTTACAAAAATCTTCTCCTGAAATTACTTGGCCAAGTTAAACCATACTTGGCTTTAATCAACCTTAGGGTATCTAGTTTAAAAAATGTTTTCGATGACCGCGCCCACCTACAAAGATGGCCGCCATGGCTAAAAATTTAACATAGAGGTAAAATGCAGTTTTTGGCTTATATCTCTGAAACTAAAGCATTTAGAGCAAATCTAACGGGGTTAAAATGTTCATCAGGTCAACATTTCCAAAATTGTCAATTGACCCCTTAAGGAGTTAATGCCCTTTAAAGTCAATTTTTCACTATTTTTTTTAATCTTTTACAAAAATCTTCTCCTCTTAATCTACTTGGCCAAATGAAATTAAACTTAGCCACAATTACTATTAGAGTATCTTGATTGAAAAATGTATCTGATGACCCTGCCCTACAACCAATATGGTCCCCATTGGTAAAAATAGAGTATAGGGGTTTACTATAAAAGTCTATGGGAAAAATGTAAAAAAACAATTTCAAATGGTCACAACTTGAAAATTAATTTAAATAATGATAAGGGGTCTTCAGTAACTAATGTAAGACTACAATGGGATGACTTGATTTTTTTTCCAGTGGGTGCAATTTCTTCAGGGGGGAGGGGGTTGCTAATAATTTCTCCTTGATATGTTCCATTTTCAGAATTATTCAGTGCTACTTTTTCTATAAATCATTATTATATCTTTTCTTTCAGCATACTTATATAGGGTGAATGCCCACAAGACCCGGCAGGTTAATCGTGGTCATTGGAACCCCTGCCGAAATTTTTTTTGAAGGGTGTTCCATAAAAACATTTAAAGGCATTTTCAGCATTATACAGGCCCTGGGTAAAATAAATTTTGGAGCGGAGAAAGGAATTTTTTTATTTTTTGTTAATTATCTTGAATATCATTATAGATTGAGATATACTGTAAATGTAACAAAAAATTTGTTCCGGCATGACATTTGTTCCGCTGGAACAAATTTCATAGGAAATATGTTCCGACGGACTTTATATCACAGAAAATATGTTCCAGCACTGTAAAATTTGTTCCGGAACTAATTTTATGACCAAATGTGAAATAAGTTCTGGAACAAAAATCATAGCTCCATGAATTTTGTTCCAATTAATATTAAGAGTTTTAAAAAGTTAAATAAGTTCCTGTGATATTTGTTTTAAACAAACTTATACATATTTCATAGAAATCAATGAATAAGTTCCGCTCAAACCTATTTTCACAGAAAATAAGTACCTTTGCAACAAATTGCAAGTGAAATATTTTCTTGTTACATTTAAATTATAATGCAAGCTGAGTGCTGTACTGAGTGTGCTTGCATGGAATACATTTGCAATTGAAGGCATGACTGTAACTAAAGGATGAAGATAAGAAATAAAAGCGATGGAAATGTATCATAATTTGTATTTATGTTTTATGTGGTATTCCGCCTTGGTTTTTGTTAACTGTCATGGACGCGTGTTCTAGTCATACATGTACTTAGGTCATAGCACAGTTTCAAAAGAGTGTGTCTTTTGTTTCTACATGTCTTTTGATATATTAGATCAGTCACTTTGTCCTTTTCAAATAAGTACATATGTTCATCTTTAACTATACTTTTTTTCTGAATGATTGATTTTTCTTATTCTAATCTTTTCTGGCTGAAAAGTGTCATTTTGATATTTTTTACGGAGTATATAATTAAACATTTGCTATACCCCACAGGATCCGAATTGGATGATTTACACTTTTTACTTTTTTTATTATTGATATAATACTTATTTTTATAATGCACTTGAATGATAACTTTAAACTCACTGATGACAAATGCTCAGTATATAAGATAACTTGTTTAACCAGTGGAACATATTTCACAGACAAGGAACTTATTTCACCAGGTGAGGAACAAATCTCACAAACCCAGAACTTATTTCACCAGATAAGGAACAAATCTCATAAACCCGGAACTTATTTCACCAGGTAAGGAACAAATTTCACCAACCCGGTACTTATTTCACCAGGTAAAGTATGGAACTTATTTTATAGAGATGGAACAAATTATATAGAAATCATCTGTGAAAAAAGTTCTCCCAGAACATATTTCCTGTGATATTAGTTCCACTAGAACTTTTTTCACAGGAACAAATTTTGGCTCACATAAACAGCAAAAATATCAAGCAAAGAAAGATCTTCAAATAAGTTAACATGACCAATTGGCAATTGAGATCTTATTGGAGTTATTGTCCTTTAAAGTTATTTTCTGCAATTTATTGGTAATTTTTGTAAATCTTTTTTTAAAGTAAAAAATCTTCTACTTTTAATTTAACTACTGGGCAAAATTAAACCAAACTTGGCCTCAATTATTATTAGGGTATCTATATGATTTTAACCTTATTTTACATGATTTTCGAAACCACAGTAGATACAGGTGAGCGACACAGGCTCTTGAGAGCCTCTAGTTTAAATGACCTTTCAGTATCTGGTCCTTTGCATTCCACAGTTTCAACCAAAAGCCCAAATATTACATGGTACATCTCATTTTAAATCATAAAGCTATTCAAGAAGGAGGTAATTGATTTCTTAATAAATTCTTATAAAACTTACATTTAAAAAAAAGACCATGCAAAAGTAATATTTATTAGATCCTATAAAATTGATTGGGCTATTAAAGCAATATGTTTGTATTTTTATATCTACAACAGAAGAGTCATTATGTTTTCTGGTCTGCCTGCCTTTATCAGGTTAACATTTTGGTTTAAGGTAGTTTCCCATGAAGCTGTGGTCACATCAATTTAAAACTTAGTACATATACCTTTAAAAATCTGCCAAATTATGGTTTTGACCCAGATTTTACAGTTCACCAATCAGGTTAAAGTTTCCCTAAACATGGAAATGTGATAGTGGGATCAAGGCATTGTGTCCTATGGTCATGTATTCTTGTTAACATAAGCTTCATTGTTCAGTATTTTGTAAATACATTTCTTAATTTGAACTCAGGTAGCCAGACTAAACACAGGTGAACAACAAGCTTAACAAACCTATAATACTCATCAGCATGTATACATCCTGATGGTCAGAGTATTGAGAAAAACCCTTTCATATAAACATAAGTAGCAACCTGTCAATCTGACCTGGGAACAGTATATCTAACGGGAAATGAATCTGATAGGCTTTTCAGTATAAAATTGATAAAATCTCGGACTTTACGAGACTTCGCGAGATTTATGGATTTTGATAGTGTCTGACTGTAAAACTATCGGAACTGCTCAATAAATTAACCACATAATTCTAATCGTAAATAAATACAAGTTTTATCATAAAGTAGATATATTTTGTCATGTAATATGACCAAAATAAGTGTGATTTATTTAATGTAAAGTGTTTTATAATGGTTTGGGAATTTGGGATTGCAATCGGCGCCATTTTTTTATTACCTGGTTTGCATTCTGTACCCTTCTGTGATGAAATGAATGCGATTATAACGAATTTGAAGTGACAGATTACAAGTTCGATACACTTGCATCACTTTAAAACTTAGTTTGAATGACATTTTATTATTATTATCAGAAATTATTACGATAATAGCGAGTACGTTTTTAACACATGTCTGTTTCCGTATCGTATCCTTATTTACTATGACCCAACGATGAAATCAGCTACAATTAGGTAGTGTCAAGTCCCGTCAATATATATGTTCCTGATCTGACATCACAAGCGATGTTCTTATACCAGAAAGTTTAATAGATCAGAACTGAATAAATATACAATTTTAGAAAAGTTAAAATAAAAAGGTAACATTAAGGGAATGCATTATAAGACCATGATTCTTACAAAATTTATTTTTTTACTCCCAAATTACAGATTTAAGCGAGTACACACAATCTAAGTTGTTGCCAGACACTGTATATAATCTTAATTGCAGGGTATTTTCCTACTGTACCTTATACATCTTGACATTTAGTCAGTCATTGTAGATCTAGTATATGTACCCATAACTTCTGTAATTTTCTCATTACACAAGACACAAAAGTTCCCTAAAGCAATTTGTGGCAATAGTACACTTTTACTGACTCATAAGATTGAGTCAGTAGGTATCTGCCCAACAAAGGATATTTTAAATTTTTGGCCATGAAGTGACAAGTAAATATTATTTATTTTAATCACAGACAATTTCCTGCAAGTTGTTTTGAAAGACTGGTAATGTAAGTATCAGTTATGGAAACAACATAATATTAGTGGAACAGACAGATTTTTAGGAACACATTGAGGTGAACTTTCTATTTTCTCTCCTAGCATGGCATGTTAAATAATATATATATTATGCTTTATAATCCTCATCTAACACATATGTCACAATTGTTTTTTTAGATTATCTTAACTGAAGCATGCATGTTTCCCCATTAAGCTTTTATCAATCCTACTCATATTTATTTAACACTTTCCCAACAGACTTAGGTATGTTAGGTGAAAGAAACTTTTTAGTTGTCTGTATTCTTGTTTTTGCCATGCTTTGAGACTTTGAGCTGAATCAGCTATATAGTTATAAGTAAAAACAAAAATATATAGGTTATAGTATTTATTTTAGGTTTAGCACTTGGACCAGTTTTATTTAGCACAAAAACACAAAAAATTAACATTTAACAGCAGCTTTTGTATGTAAATGAACTTTCAAGAATAATTAAATTTACAGATAATTATAATGCCAGATGTCCTGGCCACAAACTTCAGATTTATGATGCATTAGATGTTAAGTACAAAACTCGTACACAATAATTTTTTAATGTAAGATATCTGATATTAGCTCATACTTTTTGGTCCTGGATATATTCAATGATAATCAGTCATCCTTAGCTTAGTTAGTCGTTCAAAGAACCTAGCACCAAGTATTTAATTATCTTATAATGTAACACTGCCATTAAGTAACTGTAGATGTATTTTTAGGTGGCCAGGTATTGTAACCAAGGATCCCATCACAGAGTATTGTATGGATGTGGACTTTGAGGGTAATCCTACCCACTATCACATTGAGTACCTGGGTAAAAACCATTGTCATGCCTGGATAGCAGCTACTAATATCACATTGTATGGCCACAAGGAGGAGGAAAGTCCTGATGTATGATTAAAAAGTTCGAGGGCAGTTAAATGTAGTAACTCACTGTTTTAAAATGAAGTTTAAGAAAATTTAGTTGTTTTCCAGTGCTTATAACTGCATGCAGACTAATGCTTATGATTTAACTGTTCAAGCAACTCTTAAAGCTATAGCAAGTCAGTAATTATTTGAAATGAACATTTAGTTCTAAGTTGTTTAAAACTTGCAGAATTTTTTTTTCTTCCTTTATTTTCAGATCCCTTGACTAAATCCCATGTGAACCTTTGCCATCATTTTTTGTCTATTGTCTGTTTCTCTGTCAGTCTATGGTAAACATTTGAAGCCGCCAAATGAAATAGAAGCAAAATTGAACACAAGTGCCCTTATGCCTGTAAGAGCTGTTAATTGAATGTGTTACTTTTGTTTAATCAGTTAACATATATGAATCTGTCATGGCAAAAACAATAGGCTTTTCTGTTTGTCTTAAATTGTAAGGATACATTAAAAGTAGACATAGAGATTAACCTAAATGAGACATCAACCTGACAAGATAAGACCACCAAAATAGATATTTACAGGTCATAATAGAGTCTTTTGCATGAACATCTAAGCTTTTTGGCAAGCTAAAAATTACCTGAGTCTAGAAAAATGGTAAATTCAGCTAAAAAAAAAAAATTTATATATATTTCTTGAGGACTCTCTGAAAGCTACAAAAAACCAAATATGTCTGAAAGGTTCCTTGTATAATACTTTGGTGCCAATCAACCAACCAATAGGGCCACAACAGGGGAAGTAGTTTTGTATTGTAACATATCACGAAATAGGAAGTATTTTTACATAGAAATTTTACACTAGTTGAAATATAGCTCAAAGATTCCTTGTTAAGGACTTCCTGATAGTGTCAACATATATTTGTTCCGCCTAACAGAAGTTCCCCTGGAAACTTTGTTATTAACAATGTCATAATATTTGTTCCTGTTGGAACACATATTCCATACCCTTTATTCCATTAGGAACAAATACTGTAATATTTGTTCCAATGGAAATAATATTACAGAATATTTCTTCCACTTGGAACTTATATTATGAAAGAACTTCTATTTCATGACATAGCACTATACTTGAAAGATTTTCCTCCGCTTAAGCACATATTCCCAATCATTTTATTCTAACTTCTAGTGAAGGAAAGATTAGATCATTGACATAAGACTTGGGAAAGGTGCTGGATGGTTCACTCAACATCATCAAATGGACATGATTTATCATTTACTGGTGGGAACAAAAAGTCAATGAACAATTGAAAAATTATTTAACTAAAATTTCTCAAACTTTTATCAGTAAATATCATATTTTATTGGATTAACAAGCATCTTACTGGTGTGACTGTATAACCATTTTTTTTTAATGAACTTTGCATTGTGTCCACTCATCCATAACACACACCCTTGCATAGCTCATACTTGTATATATAGATGTCTTATGTTCTGAAGTTTCTGTCTGTCATATGAACTCGTTTTCTTGGTTATGTGTCTGCTTTAAAAAAGTTTTATCAAGTGAATTTCTTTTTTAATGCCTAATAGGATAACTATATTTGGTATATGGGATCCTGGCAATGTCTACTTGTCTGTCTGACATGGTTCATTAACCCTTCCCTCATTACAATGATCAGTGATCAAGTTTTTAGTTTAGTGGTCAAGTCTGTATCACAGATACTTTTACAATAGATTAATTATATTTGGGGAATGGAATGATTGTAAGGTGTACATGTCCGTTTTCAGAGTTCATCTAACCTTGACCTCATTTTCATGGTTCATGGTTCATTGGTCAAAGTCAAGTTTTTCAGGGTTAGGTTGGTCTCTCTGTTACTATAAGCAATAGGTTAACTATATTTGGTGTATTATATAATTGTAAAGTGTAGATGTCCATCAGGCAGGGTTTATCTGACCTTGACCTCATTTACTTTGATCATTGATAATGTTAAGTTTATGTGATGCTTTCAGCAAAATGTTTATCTGAATGACTTTCAAATTTATCATGATCAACAAAGCAGGTGAAACATTTCAATGTGTGCATACTTGTGGTAAAAAAGGTGACTTTTCAGAATTGGACCTTTTTGAAGCGATAATTTGAGCAAAATTGAATATAATTTATTACAATGATAAAAGCAATTTGTGTAAGATTAGTTGGGAATTTTTAAGGGTGTCTAAATGTTAGACAACAAATTTTTCTTAAACTTCTGTAAAAGACTTCTGGGTCAATGTAGTCTAAAGTTTCAATATAAAACCTAGGGGTCACGGACCTTGTTTTTTCGTTAAAAAAACATTGAAATTAACGATATTTACAGTTATGATGCATGGGTTATTTGGTGGAAACTTAATATTTTTCTTATTCAGGAAATATAAAACAATAGAATTGGTTAAAATTCAATGAGAGAATTGCTTTTCATAAATACTTTCGAAATATCAAATAAAAATAGGGGTCACAGTCCTTATTTTCTTGAAAAATAAAAAAAAAACACAAATTGTCCATCAATTCAATGTAATTATCTGCCCTTGATTAGAAAAGATTTTTATCTGAAAATTGTAAATACACTTAACGAAACTTAATTTTTTGATAGTTTAATCTTTAAATTTGAAGCTTTAAATATTTTTAACCCAAAAAAGTATATTTGCAACATGTCCAGAAGGGATGCTCAGAAAAAAGAAACCTGATCTACCTTAAGGTGGTACCCAACACCTTGACTAATATTAATTTGGCTCGTTTAATTTTCATAAAATTTTGACAAAATGTTTACTTTGACCCTTTGACAGAAATATAAAAATTTCAAAAAATTTGAACCAACCACTTTATCAGAAAAATTTCACTGGTTATATAGCAGTTTGACAAACACTAATTTTGATCACTGAGAAGCTTAATATTTCCTTAACAATACAACGTAATTAAAACGTTTAATTGATTTTTACAGAGTTATCTCCCTGTAGTGTTAGGTACCACCTTAATCTTGTTTTAGCAATTATTTAATTAATGGTGACCAAAATTCTATAATTTCGCATGCCAAAGCTGCTGCTGATGCTGCTGCTGCTTGCTTAAATCATACATGGAGAAGGCCATTAATAAAATAATTTTTGAAAACCTTAAATTTTGTTGGAAAAAGAGTGAATTTTAGAGAGTTTTTCTCATAATGATTTGAGTAAAAAAAAAAATGGCTTTCAATTTTTAAATGTTGCTTGTTCAATACTATTTGACATTCAAATTCCTTTCTTTTAAGAAGTCAAAGATTAAAATAAAGAAAAAAGGAAGGAAAAAGAAAACCTTGACAAGTCAAAGCAATAATTTATATAGAAAAAAATACAAACAAACACTGGTTGATGATGCTATACAAGAGGCTGAAAGTATGATGGATCAAGGTGTTGAGGATCGACTGAAACAAATCAAATTCATACCAAAAAAGTCATTAGGTTTGTAAAGTTATGTATAGGATTGGCTGAAACATAATTTTCATAGTGAAACATAACATGTCTTTAGGTTTATATATAAGGTCAATATATAAAAGATGATGAAGAAGATGACTGAACTAGATCAAATATAGAAAAATAATAGTTGTTTGGTTTGTATGAGAAATTTATGTTTAAAGAAAATCTAGGGGTATTAAATATACTATGTGTGGGGCTGAGAAAATTGTAAAAAATGGTTTTTTTTAATGTTCTGTGTGAAGTTGAAAATATGATTTTTATCAAAGATATTGCACATCTATTGTTTTATTCTGTTAGCCTAAATTTTACCAGAAATAGAAAAGCCATTTTATGAAAAACCCTTCCAATCATGATATCAAATTTTACCAGCCTTGAGTCAAGATTATTTTGGAAATGGGATATAAACGTATGTCATATAATCAATATTCTAATATGATGTTCTTCAAACGCTTTGAGTTTATAGAATAGGAATGTATTGTATGTAAGCTGATCTTAAAAAACATCACGATTTATTCAGGCTGTTCTAATCATACTCCCACGTTATAAGCTTTTTATGAACAAGTAACCTGAGGTAAATGGCAGTAAATGAGGTCATTGAATGATTGACTTTAACTATGGCATAAGAATGTAAGCATTGTATGGGAAAATGCACAAAATGTAAAAGTTCAAAGATATCAAAACATGGAAACATACAAATGATGAAACAAATTTGTTGAAAGTCCATAATCTTAAAGAAAAGTAAGATTTATTAAATTGTTCAGTAATCATGTAAGTAATTATACAAATTAAATCGATGTATGTCTAAAATATTAATTTATGGTTTGCATACACAAAAACTGGTTGGGAGCCATGTACATCCATCCTCCTTCATTTGACAGTGCCATTTTGATATACAAAGATCTATTCCTTCTTTTCCCACAGTAACACACACAATACCGGTAATTATATTTTCATAATCATTTAGCGAATTTCATCTTAATCTTTCTAAATATGTTATTGTGAATTGTTTACTATCTCACTTATTCCTTTTCTTCATCTTTTACGTCAATATTAATAGTGTTCAATTATGGGACCAGCAAATATTTGCCTTCACTTAGAGCGTATTGATCTAAAAGTTTCGCCGTCTTTGTCCTATGAAGATAGAAAAAGTTCTTAATATTTTACTGCAAGGGGTAAATTATTGACATAAAGGGCCAACCTGTGGTAAAATCAATATAAATTCAAGCCCACATGAATTATTTCTTAATATGCATATTGATTACAAAGTACAGTCAGTTGATATACTGGTTGATTAATTTGAGACCCATTTGTTTGATATGCTTGCTTTCATGATGCTCTTCCTATGTGCAAAATGAAACAAAGCAGCAAAGTATGTTGTCAACATTTATAAAATAGCAGTCTGAAGTAAGCTAAGCCCAAAATGAAGTTCCAGTTAACATGGTTAATTTGTTTTGTTTATTTATTTTACTTAAAACAATTTCTGAACTTGAAATAGTTTCATTTTTAGGAGGACCAATTATGGAAGTAAAAACTGAACCACCAGATGAATTTGAACAGATCCCTAGTTTATTGGATGAGAATAAAAATCTATTGTATTTGACTAAAACTCCAGAGGCAGATAAAAAGAAGTCATCTAGAAGAAAGGGCAAAGATGGTCTTCATCAAATAAAAAAATCTACCAACACACAATTACAGAAGGAATTGAAAACGTCAAAGGTCAAGCAAAGAGTTCAGAAATCAGTCTCTGTTCAAGATGTTGCTGTCAGGCCAAATTTTCAGGTATCTTTTGAGTCATCTTGTATAGCAAGCACTGACCTTCCACAGACCAAGGGCACTGACTGTTGGAAGAAATGTTCACAAAAGGTTGTTGTAAAAAAAGAAACAGATGATCTTTTATCAGAGGGCACACTTGTTCTGGCTAAACTGGATGGATATGACAAGTAAGTCTGCTTATATAGAAACGAACTGTAAAGTTGTAAATATAAAATATTTTAACGAAAGTATGATGTTGAAATATATATTTAATGACTGAAAATTTCTTGAAACAAAATTGGAAGTAATCTTTTTAAGTGTATTCACCAAAAATATGAAAGGAAAAAAGAAAACAAATAAAATCACAAGTACTAAAAATGTCAACAATAACAAATTTCAAAGATCATTAGATTTGATGGAACCATATGCATGTTAACCACTGCAATATCATAGTATTTTATTGTACCTCTGACCATCTGGTTGGTGTAAGCATGTCATGTATTGTGATGATAAGATTACCTATAACATAAATCATTATTAATAGTAATAGTGTTTTGAGGGTCTATTCTATTTGACAATTTTTGTTCCCTGCATAACACGTTGTGGGGGACATGGAAATACCGGGCGTCTGTCCGGTCTTGTTAGCGCTCTCACAGGTACAATTCTTGCCAGATTTATATGAAAACTTATACTATAGGTTAATATCAGCAATATCGGACAAGTTTTATAATGGTGGCCGATCGACTTTTTTTAAAAGAGTTATGCCCCTTGGAAATATTAAATTTATGGAAAATGGCCTCGTTAGCACTCTCACAGGTACAATTCTTGCCAGATTTTTACAAAACTTATACTATAGGTTAATATCAGCAATATCTCAAACGAGTTTTATAATGGTGGCCGATCAACTTTTTTTAAAAGAGTTATGCCCCTTGGAAATATTAAATTTATGGAAAATGGTCCCGTTAGGGCTCTCACGGGTACACTTGCCAGATTTTTATAAAACTTATACTATAGGTTAATATCAGCAATATCTCGGACAAGTTCTATAAAGGTGGATGATCGACTTTTTTAAAAGAGTTATGCCCCTTGGAAATATAAAATATGTGCAACGTGGGGCCATTGGAACTCTGTTCTTTTATCACCTTTGTTGTTCCAGAGTTTTGAAACTTTAAATCTGCAAAAATGCACATTTTTCATTCATTCACAATCTTGAGTATGCCTTGAGCAATGCACTTCAAACTTATGTTGTCGTCTTAGAATCAATATACTTTTGACACTTTTTATACGACCATATACCAATGTCCCTCCATTTACACTTTGTACGTTAACTCCAATTCTCATATAATTCTAGTACAACATTAGAATTGACACAAGAAAGCTCTGTTTCTTTTTTTTTAATTTTTGGATTTGCCCAAAGAGAGATATGGAACTTTGACCCTTAGATTAAAGGCAATTATTCATGAATATCGCTTTTACTACAGTATTACTGGATTGATTTCCTCCAAATTTTACATTATTGTTGGGATTGATGAAAGAGAGCTAACTTTTAATTTATTGAACTTCCCAGTTTGTCGCTCCAGAGTTATGGGACTTTAATTGTGATTTTAGTAATTTTTCACATATTGTACCATAACTTGAGTTTGCTTTGATTGAATGATTCAGGGGAAACTTTACATAATTGTTGGAAGGATAACATTTGATTAAATGTCTTGAATAATCCCATTTTATTCTTGCAACAATTTCAATATGCATAATAAGGGTTTGTCTTGTGCTCTTGGCGCAGCTGTTTATTGTTTCTGTAGTTACAGAATTAAGGGACATTTAATCCTTTAAAAAAAACAATAAAAGTTTTCAGAGACTAATTTCCTATCAGAAGTTTTAAGTACTACATTAAAATGATATCTCAATAGATGGCCAGCAGTGATGACTAGAGACCCACATACAGGACTACAGTTTGAAATGGATAGCAACCGTCAGTTGTCTACGTACCATGTAGAATTCTTAGGACCATCACATACTCATGCATGGATTAAAGCCGACAGAGTTTGTCTTTATTCTAAAGATAACATGAATGATAGTCAATCCCAGTCTGTAAGTTTATATGTAAATGAACAAAATAAAACAAAATGAAAATGCACTCCTAGAAAAACACTTAAATTTTGAAAATACCTGTCCATATAGAACATATTTCATATGCTTTCTATAGGTGACATTATAATATTGGAGTATTTTTTTGTGATTAATCTGTTTTCAATGGTTTTCTAACAATCTCATTGAAAAAAAAGGTAATATTTGAAACTGTTTCAAATTTTAAATTAGATTTTATATTGAACTGAAATAAATGTATGGTTGGGTTGGAAGGCACTTTTTATTTAAACCAGCCATTCATAAAATTTTAAATGATTATTTGATATAATTGTTAAGGCTATCTGTCTAAAATAACCACCACCAATCAAATTTTTATAAAAGTGCCTTCCGACCACCATTGAATTAATTCACGAAAAGCCCTGGTAAAATTATACTACCAGATGTACAAATTATTAACATGAAGTAAGTTTTAGTTACTATTTGTTAAAAGAGTGAAAAACAGCAGGAGAACAAAGTTAAAAAGAAATTAACATCACCAAAGAATAAGCCTTCTAAAGTTATCCTACAGAAGTTAGAGAAATCTAAAGAGGAAGCAGATTGTATGGTGGTCCTATCAAGAGAACAGAGATTGAAATTATGTAAATTCAGATTTTTCAAAGACAATCATGGTAAAACTATATATTCTTAATGTTTAACCCTGAGGGTTTTCAGTTACTTTTTTTTACGACTAAGGAAGGTTAGGTATATTTTTATTTTACAATATTTGACTATCAGACATACTTGGCTATTTACTTAATGTTTAGTATTTAAATGAATTTTCAATTGATAGAACTAGAATAATTCATTTACAATACATATATTTCCAAAGTCCTTCAGACTTTTTTTGTTTGAGAGTGAGTTATACCCCACTCTAAGAGTGGTGGGGGGGGGGGGGGGGACTATTTATTAAACTGAACCTCAAAGAGGGGTATAAATAGTGATGCATATATCTGTCTGTCCATCCGTAACAATTATAGTTTCAGAATGATAATGAAAAATATCGCTTGACTAAATCATTTGTATATTTTTTCATTGTTTCTAATTGATAATTAAAGTACCATTTGACAAAATCAGTTAATATTTTATATATCACAATTTTATGAAACATAAAACACAGGCCAAGTTCACTCTTGGCATTTACTTTTCAAGTGTTATACCCCTAATTATCTTTGAAAAAATGGGATTAGTTTGGTTTCCACACAACTATGTATCACTTAAGTACAACTTTATATCTTCCCTGGCTTTCAAATGTTTAGTTTTTAGCATTCCTGATGAAGGTAAATCCAGAAAAGTGCTTTGGATGCACCAAATTTATAAAGTGTTATTTTCATTCCTAAAATCTTTAACCAATAATATGTCATAAACCATGAAATAAGGTCACCATCAATAAAAACAGTTTTGGCATTTTTTACCTTTAAAGAGTTTTTCTGTGGGTGGGGTATCTGTGCTCACTAGATCACCTCATTCTAATTTATACTTCCATTCTAGGAGTAGGGCTATATTGCAATCACCATGTCTGTCTGTTTGTCTGTTCTTCGTCCAACAAATATTTTCAACACACTTTTCTCAGGAATAAATGAACAGAATGACTTCATATTTGGTCAGCTGCTTGACAGTAATGAGTTGTAACAGGCAAGCCCTTTCCAGATCAGACAGAAGGCTACTTCCTGATTTCTTTTACTTTGAATTACAAGTGGGGTATGCTTAGCACTAGAACATGTGTCTTCTTGGATAAGTTGTAAAAAATAGGTTTTAACCTATGATAAATCTTCAGATATACCTGTGGAATCAAAGCATCAATTTGTTGGACAATTAAATTTCAGGAACTAAAGTGTTAAAGTTCATCATCCATTCATATGCCAGCTGGATGACTCTAGCAGCCTCTTTTGTTCTGTTATCAACTTAATGTCATGTTTGTATTTTTAGTTATCAATTTATAAACATCATGTTTGTATTTTCAGAAGCAGAAGATTTTCAGTGCAAAGATAGTGGTTTTGAGAGCTGGAACTACCCAGCATCATCAGGTAGTTCAGCCATAAGTTCTGCTGAAAACTTTGCATGTTCTAGGCTCCAGTATAACACATCATTAGTAGACAAATCTAAAGAGGAAAGGTTTAAACTTGATGTAGAGGTATGATTCTATTAATTCATATACAGAATGTCAGTCAAATATATGTAAACTATACAGTCTTGGGAAAAAGTCTCTATTTTATTAATGTCAATTTGTAAAAGCCATATTCCTTAAGTTGAAAGTTTTTTTCTCCACCAAGGAGAGAAGATAGTGTGCTTGAAAGTTTCAGATGGTATATATTGAGCGTTTGTCCTATTCAGTAATCCTGTATAAATATACTAGATACAGTTAACTGAAATATAAAAAGAAAACTACAATTCATTGGAAGTTCATCAACATATGTGTATGATGTCACATTCATCTAACTAGTTTGATGGTCTATTCTTTTGACTCTATCACTTGCATCATCACCTGTTTTATTCTGATTAAGTGCATGTCAATAAAACTGACTGCCACGAAATAGCACAATAGTGCTGAAAATGGTGTTAAACACCAATCAATCAATCAATCCTTAAAATAGATCTTCAAAACTCTTCATCTGAACCAGTTACAGAAAAGTTATGTCATCTTCTTGCACAATCACTGTTTTTTTGTATTTTTTTTCGTTGTTAATTTGTCTCTTTATATTCATTACTTGAAATCCTGCATTTCTGAAACCCCTTAATTTGGATAATGCTTTACTTTTTGTACTGAAAATAAATTTTAAAATCAAGGAGTAACCATGGAAGTTTAGAAGCTAAAGAAATATATATAAAAGGTAGACAAGTTTTGATACTCTAAATTGTAGAGTTGCCATTGTGAAAACCTTTCTTAGATTAGGTTGATCTGCAAAAAATAGATTGTCAAAAAATCAAACAAGATGAAGACTGATTGCTGAATACTATCCTCATTTGTTCATGGCATGAGAAGGATTTCAGTCAGTGACAAGAAAAATTTGGCCTGAGATTAGTCATGAGTTCTATCAGATCAATAAGCTTTATGTCAGTGGTATCATATTTTGTGTCGCCTGCGACAAAAGTCGCAGTATGCAGACATAGGTATTACTATCCGGGGGCGGCAGCGTAAACTATTTGTATAAAGCTTTATATTTCAGAAGGTAGAAGACCTGGATGCTTCAAACCTTGTATGCATATACCTTATGTTACGAAGTTTCCGTCTGTCATATGTCCTTGACCTCATTTTCATGGTTCAGCGACTGCTTGAAAAAAAATTGCAGGTTTTTTGTCATGTGAATTTCTCACTTATTATGAGTAATAGGATAACCATATTTAATATATGGGTTCCTTGCAACATTTACATGTCTGTCAGACAGGGTTAATCTGACCTTGACCTCAATTCATGGATCAGTGATCAAGGTTAAAGTTACAAGATTAGGTCCATTTCTCAGATACTACAAGCAGCAGGTCAACTATATGTGGTGTATGGAATGATTGTAAGGGGTACATGTCAGACTGGCAGGTTTCATCTGACCTTTGACTTCATTTTCATGGTTCATTGGTCAATGTTAATTTTTTGTGTTTTGGTCTGTTTTTCAAGTACTGTAAGCAAAAGGTCAACTATATTTGGTGTATAGAATGATTGTAAGGTGTACATGTCTGTCCATCTGGTGTCATCTGACCTTGACTTCATTTTCATGGTTCATTGGTCAATGTTAATTTTTTGTGTTTTGGTCTGTTTTTCAAGTACTGTAAGCAAAAGGTCAACTATATTTGGTGTATAGAATGATTGTAAGGTGTACATGTCTGTCCATCTGGTGTCATCTGACCTTGACTTCATTTTCATGGTTCATTGGTCAATGTTAAGTTATTGTGTTTTGGTCTGTTTTTCAAGTACTATAAGCAATAGGTCAACTATATTTGGTTTATGGAATGATTGTAAGGTTTACATGTCTATCTAGCCTGTGTCATCTGACCTTGACCTCATTTTCATGGTCCATTAGTCAACGTTAAGTTTTTGTGTTTTGGTCTGTTTTCAAATACTAATAGCAATAGGTCAACTATAATTGGTGTATGGAATGATTGTAAGTTGTACATGTCCGTCTAGTCAGTATCATGTGAACTTGACCTCATTTTCATGGTTCATTTGTGAATGTTAAGTTATTGTGTTTTGGTCTGTTTTTCAAGTACTATAAGCAATAGGTCAACTATATTTGGTTTATGGAATGATTGTAAGGTTTACATGTCTATCTAGCCTGTGTCATCTGACCTTGACCTCATTTTCATGGTTCATTAGTCAACGTTAAGTTTTTGTGTTTTGGTCTGTTTTCAAATACTAATAGCAATAGGTCAACTATAATTGGTGTATGGAATGATTGTAAGTTGTACATGTCCGTCTAGTCAGTATCATGTGAACTTGACCTCATTTTCATGGTTCATTTGTGAATGTTAAGTTATTGTGTTTTGGTCTGTTTTTCAAGTACTTTAAGCAATAGGTCAACTATATTTTGTTTATGGAATGATTGTAAGGTGTACATGTCTGTCTAGCCGTTGTCATCTGACCTTGACTTCATTTTCATGGTTCATTAGTCAATGTAAGTTTTTGTGTTTTGGTCTGTTTTTCAAATACTAATAGCAATAGGTTAACTATTATTGGTGTATGGAATGATTGTAAGGTGTACATGTCTGTCTCCTCAGTATCATCTGACCTTGACCTCATTTTCATGGTTCAATGGTTAATGTTAAGTTTTTGTGTTTTGGTCTGTTTTTCAATTACCATATGCAATAGGTCAACTATATTTGGTGTATGGAATAATTGTAAGGTGTACATGTCTGTGTGACAGTTTTTATCTGACCTTGACCTCATTGTCATGGATCTTTAAAAATGTTAAGTTTATGTGATACTTGTAGTAAAACCTTTATCTTTAAGACTTTCAGCATAAAATCAATGGTCAGTAAAACAGGCGAGACATTTCAGCATGTGCACTCTTGTGTTGAATTAAATATTAAATTATAAATGCTTTTAAACAATGCAAAAATGAAGGCTATAGAGTTTATGTACTAAGGAACTAAATTTAACAAGGTCTTCTCTGAAGGAAATGACAAAATGTATCATTTGTTTTAAGTCTACTGAAAGGATAAAATGTCAAATCCTGAAAAAAAAATTTCAACTTAGTTTTGCTCTTATTTTTTGGGATTCTGGAAATAAGAAAATAAAAAAAAATGACTAATATCATAACTGTTTCTTAATTTCTGCATAGACATTTCCTAGAAAAAGATTGGAAACAATAAAGAAAATTGACATTTTACATCTATACTGTATAGGTTCTACATTTTCCAAAAGAAAATATCTTACTATCATTTAATGAATCGTAACTATCTTCATAATTTTGGTGGTGATGTGTATTGTACAGTCAGCTATGTATTCAATTGTATTTAAAAATGAATTGTAAAGCTTGATGTAAAGTGAAAGGATCATAGTCTCTGGATTTTTTACTTTATTTTTTATTTGGTTTGGAATAACTGACATCAGCACTCTTGACAAGATGGAAGAATTAGAAATATTTTTTTGTGATTTTTGTCGAGCCTTCGACTTTAGTCGAAAAAGCGAGACATAGCGATCCTACATTCCGTCGGCGTCGGCGCCGTCCACAAATATTCACTCTGTGGTTAAAGTTTTTGAAATTTTAATAACTTTCTTAAACTATCCTTGATTTCTACCAAACTTGGACAGAAGCTTGTTTATGATCATAAGATAGTACCCAGAAGTAAATTTTGTAAAAATAAAATTCCATTTTTTCCGTATTTTACTTATAAATGGACTTAGTTTTTCTGCCGGGAAATATTACATTCACTCTGTGGTTAAAGTTTTTAAAATTTTAATAACTTTCTTAAACTATCCTGGGTTTGTACCAAACTTGGACAGAAGCTTGTTTATGATCATAAGATAGTATCCAGAAGTAAATTTTGTAAAAAAATAAATCTATTTTTTCCTTATTTTACTTTTAAATGGACTAAGATTTTCTGCTAGGAAACAACACATTCACTCTGTGGTTAAAGTTTTTAAAATTTTAATAACTTTCTTATACTATTTTGGATTTGTACCAAACTTGGACAGAAGCTTGTTTATGATCAAAAGCTAGTATCTAGAAGGAAATTTTGTAAAAAAAATAAATCCATTTTTTCCATTTTTTACTTTTAAATGGACTTAGATTTTCTGCCAGGAAACAACACATTCACTCTGTGGTTAAAGTTTTTAAAATTTTAATAACTTTCTTATACTATTTTGGATTTGTACCAAACTTGGACAGAAGCTTTTTAATGATCAAATGCTAGTATCTAGAAGGAAATTTTGTTTTCTTCCAGTTATCATTACATTCAGTCTGCAGTTAAAGTCTTTAAACATTTATTAGATTCATAAACTATCATCAAACTTGGACAGAAGCTTCTTACAATCAAAAGATAGTATCAAGAGGAATATTTTTATTGATTTACTTCCTCATTTTTGTTGAGCCTGCGATTAACAGAAAAAGTAGGCGAGACACTGGGTTCCGCGGAACCCTTACAAATTTTTAATTGAATAAAAGCAAAATTACAAATTGATGTTTTAGATGTACAAGAAAAATGAGAAGGCATTTCTTCATGACCTGTCAAGATTTATGAAGAGGAACAACTTAAGTGTAAATCTAACAGCTCATTGGCACCATATACCAGTAGGAGCTTTTCAGCTTTTCCTCGCTGTCCATGAACGTGGCGGATATCAAGAGGTAAAGATTTATGGAATTGGAGTAATTGTATCACCATAAATTTTTTAATTTTATATGTATTTGGAAAATTATTATGAAGATTTTTAACCTGTAGCAAATACATGAGATATTTCTACATTAGTATACTCTACACATGTTCTTTAATTCATTTTATCCACACTTGCTATATATGAGGTAATAGCAGCCTCTAATATAGGTGACTATGTAAAACTTTCATTTTATTTTTCATCTAGAATTAATCAATTGATCACCAGAGTAACTAAATTAATTTTAGTCTGTGTCTAACACAGGCAGTCCTCACCATCAAAATTGGGTTCTGACCAGCAAATTTTTTCTTTTTTCTTTTAGTTTTTACTGTGTTTATTTATTCAGACAGATGGAAAATAAAGTTACATTTGTATCATAGATTGCTAAGTATTTTCTTAATATACTTTTTTAATCATTTGATTAAATTTGATGAAAATTGAATATAGATTTGCAGAAAGAAGCAGTGGACTGCAGTATTCAGGGAACTGACAGAAACCCAGCTCTCTGCTGGTCCTGCTCCAAAGAATTTTTACCTCAGGTTTGGTGCTTCTGTGGATTATTGCTACATTAAATTTTTATTTGGAAGTCAATAGATACTTGAGTCTCAAGATTATCAAATATGAACAAAAATTTATATTAATTGTTTTTGAATAACAAAACAATATATAAACTGTTGATAAATCTAAAAATAAGGAGAAGGGTATGATTGCCAATGAGACAACTTTCCACTATGCTGGTTGATGTCAGGTTACCTACATTTAGATATTTAAACTTTTTTTTTCATATTTGATATAACAAATTGATTGTAGTATTCTTTCTTGTTGAATTTCAGTGACAAATCGATTGTACATACATTTCTATACATACATGAAATAACAGTTAAAATAACTTTAATTACCAGTCAAATTTCTTCATATTTCAACACACTTTAAAAATTTACCCAAAAAAAATAGGCAAATCAAACAAAATGATTGGTCACCTGAATTATCAGTTCTTTTTGAATTTGATTATCATTTAAAGGATCAACTTGACAAATCTAAATGAAATCATATCAGCTTAAGACAATTATTTTGATGTGTAATTTTTTTTTTATATTACATTTAAAATTAACAATTTGATATTTCTTTAATCAACTTATGTATTATAGTGGTAATGAACTTTCTCTCATACTATCAGTAATATATAGACTGCTGAATATTAAATAACCAACATTGCATCAGTCAATCTTAACTTTTAGGAATATTTATGCATATGAATTGTATGTAACCAATGGTGATTTTGAGGCTGAATTAAAGCGACTACTGAGCAAAAGAAAGAAGAAATCTGTAGGAGATGTGATGATAGAAGATGATACAGGCAGTTATACCAATGTTGATGATGATGGTAAGTATTGTATGTTGTGGAGTCCCTAAAAGGAGTTCCACTATAAAATAGACTAATCAACAACTATTGGGAAACAAATAAAATTGTGTTGTCTCTACTCCCACCTCTGAATAGAATTCCCATTGTGATGAAAGAGTTGAGTTTATGATAGTATTTAGATTTTTACATTTATATATTTCTTTAGCTGACTCAGATGGTTTAGCGGCAATGTTAGCAGATCTTGAAGAATACAGTTCACTTTGTCAATTAGAAGAAGGTAAACCTTACTGATATTTAATAAGTAATTGAACACTGTTAATCAAGTCCTTCTGTCACACTTTTGAATTCACAACTGCTTGGGAACAGCTTGATAGGATTTTTGTAAAACTTTCACAGAATCTTACTCACATGATAAACTTATGCACCACCTATTTCTGCATCCAAATATTTTTTTGGGTGTAATTTGACATGACATGGACATTGTCATATCTGCACACTAGTTCAAATTTGAATTGTCTTCTCCTCATATTCACCTTATCAAAATTTCATGGAACCTTCTAAGAATCTTCATGATATATTGCCTTGGTGCACCTATTTTGTTTTTCTATCTGACTTTTTTGGGGTTTTCTTAGCATTGCTTTTTCTTGTGGATACACCAACTTTGTATATTCAACTGCTCCTATACTACCTAAAAGATTTGATTGAAACTGTCTCAGAATCTTCTTAACCATACAATGCCATTGTGCCCCTATTTTGTTTTTTAATCCCAAATTATATTTTGGTTATCTCTATTAAGCAAATTATAGAATTTGCCATTGCTTAATTTGAGAACTGGGGGCTGCAGTTTTGTGAGATTTGGTCCAAATTTCTATAGTTTAATTTGATTTTGAAAAAATAAAACACTTATGTTACAGTATTGGAAAGTGAATGATGAGCTATTTTTTGGCTCTTAAATTCATTATTCACTTAAGCTATAAAAACTATTGATTATGATTTTACAGATGATCAGATGACACAAGCAGCAAGACATTAAATTTCCTTCTTACATATTTGCTTCTGGCCTTAGAAGTGTAGTTCAAGAAAACTAATGGCACTTTTATTTTTTTCTTTCTTTTTATTATTAATATTTGGATATGCACAACATTCTTAGCCTAAATAATGTCTTCTTGAGATAAATATGTTTCTTTGAAATAATTTTAATTTCCGGGAATGGCTTTATTTAGTTTGAACAGAAATGTGTTGAATGCATAAAATGATCGGATGACTGTGGCAACATACTTATGAATGAATTATAGATTCTAAAAATTAATTTTATTATGGTTCTTAAATACATAACATCACAATACCTGTTCTGGACTAGACTTTAAGGAAATATGCTATACCTCCTAAGGTACCTGATAATATATTGAGTTAAGCATGTTCAAAATCAGGACTTGATATTATGAACTGGGTATGACGTAACAATACATGTATATGAACTGTTCATGGCTTTCTTTTCTTCAATTCTTTAGAATTAACACCATATGAATATCAAATTTTAGCATGATGAAAGTGTATGGGTCTTTGAAGGCTTTACAGTCTCCTGTTATTAATGTTTCTGATTGATAGTAGTCTTATTAACAATCTCATTGGTTCCTTTCCAGGTTTAGATGATTTCTCTTTCAGATATGTGCCCAGTTAAAAGTCTACATTAAGTTAAAAGTCCTTTCCAAATTAAATGCATTAATGAATTGGTAGAGATTATTAGAGATTTAGCAAGGTAAAAAATGTATGGGATTGCAATAATCACTTGACCTTAAAATAAGCCCTAAATGCTAATCTGCCGATGAGATTTCAGATCATATCAGCACTAGCTGGTATGGAAAACATAAGTATCAGGTTGTATTTGTCGTTCTCCCTCCTTATGCCTTTCAATGTATTTCAGATATTGAAGCTGAGAAAAAGAGAATGGGAATCAATATAGCCTATCATGAAGATTCTCCTTACAGTAAAGTTTCTCCAGGAGTTAAATATGTTAGCACTCCTTCAGAATTTGACTGCCCTGTATCACATGGTAAGCTGTTACTGCTAATAATCCTTTAGAATCATTTGTTAATAACTAATCATGCCATCATCATCTTCATCTTGTTTTAAAGAAAAACGATAATGTACAAAAAGTAATGAGGAGCTTCCTATGTTTGAGGCTAGTGATTAATGTAGATGAACTACTTAGACCACATGGCCACTGAAGCCTACAAAGGCCTTTGAAGAAAACTGTTAAGTAATCTACAGTGAACTGCATTGTTACAAAATTGTAAAACATGTTATTAGATATTCTATCATTGATAATTTATTTGTTTATAATTGTTAGGAAATCACAAGAAACAGCAAGAAGTACCTGAGACAATGTTTTCTGTTTCTAGTGTTGACTCACAGAATGACCTGGTTTTTCACCAGATGGAAAGAATTGTTAATGAGGATTTATCATAGAATAGGATGAACTGGTCTTTCACCAGATGGAAAGAATATTGTTAATTAGAATTTATTACAGAAAGTGTCATGATATTTGAGACAAACTGGCATTACAGACAGTCTTAATTTAGATTTACTGTTAGAAATCTATACAAAAATCCCTTTCAGAGTATTAATGTTGTACAAATTACAGTCTGTCCTATTTAAACGAACTTAATGTTGTTAGAGGTCTAGGTTTACTAGGATACACTTAAAAGACATGCATTTACCTAGAATATGAAATCATATAAAGTATAATGTTTGGCATACAATTTCAGTGAGGATTTTTTTTATGCCCCACCAATATGCAAAGAGGGCATTAAGGTTTAACCTTGTCCATGCGTAGTCCATCAGTCCTTTCTCTGTCTCTACGTCCCACAATTGGTTTCCATTCTTTATCTTTATTTTGCCTCAAATAAATGTTATAAAACTTATACACAATGTTTATTACCACCAAACACAGATCAAGTTCAAATTTGGGTTGCTTCACTTTCACCCTTCAGCTATATTTTTAAAGGGGCATTTGCTGTCAAAATCATGTTCACTGATTTGATTTATAACATACTAAAACATATATCCAAATTACAAAAAGTCGAAAATAAACAATTAACAATGCATGGACCCAATAATATGTGTATTTTTGTCTCAACATCATCTAATTAACCATCGAGATGACCTCCGAAGACTGCCTACGGTCATATAACCCGATATAAACATAAATACAAATATAAATAGATAGCGACCACATGCAATTAGATTTTTCTAGGTCTGTTTGATTTCATATTGTAGGTTAAACAGTGTTTAGCATTGTTTTTACCTCTATAAGAAGAATTTTTTGTGTATTGAATCAGTCAATCAAACGGTTCATCCTTGTTTCACTTTCAATGTTGACATTCTTTTCCTTTTAATAGCTGAATACATGCGTAACCCATCTCCAGCTTAGGGGTTAAAATGAAGGTCACATGAATACAGATTCAATGAGATCAAATTATTCATTTGCAACTGAATAATTCATCAGCTATGTTTCCTTGCTTATTTTGACAAAATTGAACCAAACTGGCTGCTGAAAGTGAATTATTATTTCATTATTTCACTTTCGTTAATCACTGAACAAAAGAAATCCTATTTTATTTATTTTTTATATCTTGTAGTTAATGCCCCTGTAAGAATCTAGTATATTGTTCTGTTTATATTTTGTTAGGTTGTATTTTTAAGATTCTAGTACATTGTTCTGTTTATATTTTGATAGGTTGTATTTTTAAGATTCTAGTACATTGTTCTGTTTATATTTTGATAGGTTGTATTTTTAAGATTCTAGTACATTGTTCTGTTTATATTTTGTTAGGTTGTATTTTTAAGATTCTAGTACATTGTTCTGTTTATATTTTGATAGGTTGTATTTTTAAGATTCTAGTACATTGTTCTGTTTATATTTTGTTAGGTTGTATTTTTAAGATTCTAGTACATTGTTCTGTTTATATTTTGTTAGGTTGTATTTTTAAGATTCTAGTACATTGTTCTGTTTATATTTTGTTAGGTTGTATTTTTAAGATTCTAGTACATTGTTCTGTTTATATTTTGTTAAGTTGTATTTTTAAGATTCTAGTACATTGTTCTGGTTATATTTTGTTAGGTTGTATTTTTAAGATTCTAGTACATTGTTCTGTTTATATTTTGATAGGTTGTATTTTTAAGATTCTAGTACATTGTTCTGTTTATATTTTGTTAGGTTGTATTTTTAAGATTCTAGTACATTGTTCTGTTTATATTTTGTTAGGTTGTATTTTTAAGATTCTAGTACATTGTTCTGTTTATATTTTGTTAGGTTGTATTTTTAAGATTCTAGTACATTGTTCTGTTTATATTTTGTTAAGTTGTATTTTTAAGATTCTAGTACATTGTTCTGGTTATATTTTGTTAAGTTGTATTTTAAAGATTCTAGTACAGTCAAACCTGTATTAAGCAGTCACTCTTGGGAAGTATCAAAACCTTTGAAATGAGGTTGGAAAATAATTCTTATTTCGACATTGCCTATGGTCAGGTGTATCATAGCAAATTGTTTTAGTGTTGTTAATCCGTAGTGTTATGGTTCTTGCTTCAGTGAAATAAAAAAAATGACGGATTCTGGCTGAAAATTTGAAGAAAACATTCAAAATATTTTAATATTCATGGAGAAATAAGTCTCTGACACGGTTTTCAATGGAAATGGAAAGGAGTAGAACAAGAGGAACTCACGAATTGACCTATTGCTCAATCTCTGTTGCAAACAGATTCCGATTTTCATTTTGATTTCGATACTGAATACAAAGTCATTTATTTTTCGTCATGATTATTTCGATAGTTGAAAAATTGAAATGACCGTTGTTATAAGTTAAAATGAACATTTCGTGCTACAAATAGGTGACCCCGTTAGACAGGTCACTGCTGATTTGAGTTAAATTATATATAGAAAACATTTGGGAAGGGTCTGAAGGTGGCTGTTGGAGGCAGGTGCCAGCTGAAACGAGGTGACTGTTAAGGCAGGTTTGACTGTACATTGTTCTGTTTATATTCTTATGTTCAACTGAATTGAATTGTTTATATTCTAGTCCATTGTTTTGTTTTTATGATCTAGTTAGTTTTATTGTTTTAATTCTAGTCTGATGTTGTTTATATTCCGCTGAAATGTTGTTTTAAGATTCCAGTCTGTTCTGTTTATATTTTATTCAGTTTTATTGTTTAGATTCTAATCCATTGTTCTGTTTATATATTCTGCTGAAATGTATTTTTAAGATTCTTGTCTGTTGTTTTGTTTAGATTCTTATATTCTTACTTGTTTTTTATTTGTAAAGTAGTATGGTATACCATGGTCTATCTATCCATCGTAAACCTGTATGCATTGATCAATTTTATTTAAAACAATATCAAATTATTACAATTGAGGTCTATTGGTATAAAATTTTGTTGTCATTAAAGAGTAATGGGAGCTTAATCTTTTATAAATCAGTAAGTTTTCACATCTTGCTCACTTACTGAAGTGTGCCTTTAGTGATAACCCCAAACTAAACCATAGTATTAAGAATGGTGGTATAAGGGTTAGTATTCTTTATGACAATTTTCATGGGTCATGTGGCTTAAAAATAGAAATAAATATATATTTTTTCATGTTGCACACAACCCCAAGAATGCCTCCAGTTATTTACTTCATACTTTACCAAAATATTTAAAATGTGATCTGAGGGTCTATACTTGAGCTGCGTCAGGTAGAAATCAACCTTATGCAAATTAATAGCAATTATACATTTGTTTTACTACATCTCTACGGAAATTCTGTAGCTGTTTGAAAATTGAGTTGTTATAAGAACCCTACAAAACAGACCAAAATTCATCTTTTATATTGTATTTGAATGTTCCAAAATCAATTAAAGTCTTGTACATGTACATGTATACGTGCACATACAAAAGATTGATTTCTATCCAATGCAGCTCACTTAATGATTTTGTAATTTAGATGATGAGATTAAAATGATTAAGTCAGGTATTTAGATATGATCAGTTAATATTGGAATTAACTTTGTAAAAAAGTCTATATTTTTCCAATAATCGTTAAACAATACTTTTTATAAAATGTTTGGGACAGGTGTATCGTGTGCTCATGGCACAGCAATTCATTTTGTCTATTGTCCTGTTGAGATTTTTTTGGAATTTTTTATACTTGATTCTGCATATTAAAAAAAAAACAAACCCATAGTAATATTTTCAACTTGTGTATGCAACTGAACAATAGGATATTTTTATCTTTGGATGGAATTGTTTTACTTAGTAAAGAATAACACTAAAGTCATTCATTCAAACAAGACACCACATTACTGATTCCTAAACTGAATTTGATCAACCATAATATATTGATTATCTAGTGTGTGTTTGTAGAATAGTTTAAAACTTAAATTTTTGATGTCCATCTATATTTTATTGAAAATGTTATACATCACGATTTAGAAAGTAAAAAAAACATTTTTCTGTTTGTGAATATTCATTTATTTATAAATACTGGGCAGTAAATATCTAGATCTGGGAAACTTCCATAATTAGAAAAAAACAATATCTGCTGACTTATATTTATTGACATTGAAAATTATTTAATATTTTATTTTATTTTTTTATTTATTTGAAATTACCAATATAACTTGAAATAATATTGTTAAAGATCCCAGCAATCTCTGGAGCTATATTTTTATATATTGGTCCAATGTTTTTTTTCTAGGGCAAGGGAACTATGCATAAGTTATGCATTAGATAGAATAAACACACTAAATTACTACACCCTATCTATTACACTGTTTGGGCAAGTGGAAAATCAAACATTCTCTCTCTTTCATCAATTCAATAAAATTGGTACCCAAGAACTAGAAAATAATTTGCATATAGTCATGTATTTTTTATATGGTTTGTTTTTATTGAATGTCATACAAAATCAAGATTTAAAGCTTATTTCCTAATGCTTGTACAGTAAGACTTTGGTTGGCTTGCTTACTTTGTATAAGTGTTTGCTCAAGCATTGTAATTAAGATTGACATCTACATACAATATATGCGGAGTTAAACCTGTTTACATGTACAATTGAGTGTTCCTAACCTCCAACTTCCAATCAAATTAAAGTATAATGTATACATCTTTTCCTCCGCCTATCTATATTGTTTGCAGATGTCAATCACAATTACAATGCTTGAGCAAACGTTTATACAATCAAAGCAAACAAACCAACCTAAGTCTTACTCTACAAGCAATAAGAAATAAGCTCTAAAGGTTTTAGAATGTTTCAAAGTATACCTATGAAAGTATTGAAAGTCTTTATAGTTAAGATATAATCACTGTTCAATTGGGATTAAGAAGCAATTCTTTTGTAACCAATCATGCATATATATGACTGCTGGTATAAAGTGTTCTGTTGATTTTCTCTAATATTTACTGGTAGTTATTTACTTTTATCAATTAAATACCTTTCATTTGAATGTTTTTATTTTCATTATTTGTATGAGATACATGAATAAAAGTTAACAAAAAAAAACTATATTGTTAGCATAAATTTCCTGCAAATGATCTGCTACCAACCTAGAAGAATTTTTGGAACCCAAAAATCATTGTAAAAGCATAACTATAGCAGATGCACAATGGCATTTGATATTGAAGTTTCTGTGAATGTTTCATTAAATACAGTAAGTTTTCCAATAGTTATGCCTTTCCTTTTTGTAGATATGGCAAAGGTTATGTTTAACTATGTAAAACCCCAAAATCATTCAGTTTATAAAAAAAAATAGAGTGTACATGCTGAAATGTCTCGCCTGTTTTACTTATCATTGAATTCATGTTGAAAGTCTGTCAAGATTTTACTACAAATATCACATTAACTTAAAATTATCAATGTTCTATGAAAATGAGGTCACAGTTAGATGAACCATGCCAGAAAGACATGTGTTTACAATCATTCCATACACCAAATATAGTGGTCATCTCGCTAATATTACCCAAGAAACAGATCAAACCAAAAAATCTTAACATTGACCAGTGAACCAAGAAAATGAGATCAAGGTTATATGAACCCTGCCCTACAGACATGTACACCTTGCAATCATTTCATACACCAAATGTAGTTGACCTATTGGTTACCGTATCTGATAAACTGACAAAATTACAAAAACTTATCATTGACCAATGAACCATGAAAATGAGGTCAAGGTCATATGAACACTGTCGGACAGAAATGTACACCTTACAATCGTACCATACACAAATATAATTGACCTCTTGCTTATAATATCTGAGAAATAGACCAAACCACAAAACCTAAACATTGTCCAATGAACCATGAAAATACGGTCAAGATTGGATGAAACCTGCCAGGCAGACATGTACACCTTGCAATCGTTTTATACACCAAATATAGTGGCCTTATTACTTATGGTAATTGAAAAACAAACCAAAACACAAAAACTTGTTTTTCAAGTAGTCACTAAACCATGAAAATGAGGTCAAGGACCATGGACATGTGACAGAGGGAAACTTCATAACATAAAGCATCTATATACATAGTATGAAACATCCAGGTCTTCCACCTTCTGCAATATTAAGCTCTCAAGTAATTGGTTAATGCCAAATCACTATCCCTATTTCTCACTTT